GGGGGGTGTGGGTGTTTGCCCTGCATTGATACAGCTAAAGTAAACCATGTCAAATACTCCGAACATAAACTGATTATTATTTTTAAAGTAATCTTAAATATATTCAAGAGCAAGCATCTGAATATTTGAGACCCTGCCACTGAGTACAGGATCTGTTTTTGTGAACAGATAGAAGACATATCGGTGAAAAAGTTTAATGTTATGTGTGCATACCCTCTAATTCTCCCCATTATTATTTGGATCCTGCCCATCTGACTGTGTTGCCCCAGCCAGTCTTGGTGCTTTCCAACATGTTAAACATTACACATTAAAAAGCTTCCCTATACAGGGCTGCCTTCAGATGTCTTCTAAAGGTTATGTAGTTACTCATCTCCTTGGCATCTGATGGGAAGGCGTTCCACAGGGTGGACACCACTACCGAGAAGGCCCTCTGCCTGGTTCCCTGTAACTTCATTTCTCACAGTGAGGGAACTGCCAGAAGACCCTCAGAGCTGGGCCTCAGTGTCCTGGCTGAATGATGGGTGTGGAGACACTCCTTCAGGTATACATGGCCAAGGCTGTTTGGGGCTTTAAAGGTCAGCACCAACACTTCGAATTGTGCTTGGACACTTACTCCATACTCATTGGGGCAGGGAACTGAAAAATAATGCTAGAAACTAAATGCAATGCAAGTTACCAGAGCAGGAACTCAGAAAATCCTGAATGCTGGAAAATAATGCTATAAAATGCTATAAAAACCCCCCCCAAAAACTGTCTTCCTTAGGGTGGCCTAAAGCCATGGTTTCTGATGACATGTGATGAAAGTCAGAAAGGACAAGTTTACTTTTAACTCTAATGAGCTGCATTACCAAAAGGTTAATGAGGGATTTCAAAGACTCTGAAGTGTGACACGATTTAATACAATATTCCAGCCAGAGGTATTGCTGATGTATGCACTAATATGATGCATTAGACACCGGTGCGCAAAATGAGACAGAAAATTACAAGCCTTCGTGGAACTTGCTAAAATCAGGACAGAGATATAGATCAAATTTAGAAAATTATGTAAAAAAGGGGGGGTTGTTTATATATTTTACTTCGGTTATTAGAAAATAGAACTAAGTGTTCATAGTATCAGGAACTGGAGTGTTTTGTAGTAAGAAAGCGAAGAAAAGGCAGGGAAATTGTTGTGGTTTTTTCATACTAGTGTGCTTTATGCACAACCATCAGCTAAAAGCAATTACCAAGGGAAAAAAGATATTACAAAAGACAATGCAGAATTTCCATGGTGACAGTAACTCGAACTATATTGTAAAGTGTACAAATAAAGCAAATAGAAAAGTCAAGAGTTTATGAAGGGACAGAATAAATTATTTTAAAATGGAATTCAGAATATTTGCTTTGCTGCTGAAAATGAGAGCTGCATTTAGACAACATGAATTTGCAATTACCTTGTGATGAGATGTATATGGAGGGAATGTTGAGCACCAGCATGCATGTGCCTCAAACCCTCCAAATCAGGCTTCTCGGGTGGTTTAAAGGCATCCACTACAAGCTCATTCACACAACTATCCTTCAAGCGGCTTTCCCCATTTATAGCAGTATAGTCGTTGTTTGATGCAGCATTTTTAAGAGCAGATTTGTAGCTGGTTGTCTGCACCTTTGGTCACATGTCACCATAATTAGAGAGTGAGTGCAGCACTTTCCTTGCCACACTAATGGTAGGTTGGGCCTGAATTGAGAAAAGTGCTGTGGCTGTAGCTACGCTCCTAATGCACCCTTATGTTCCTCTCAGCCAGTACAGTGGTACCTCAGGTTACATACACTTCAGGTTACATACGCTTCAGGTTACAGACTCCGCTAACCCAGAAATAGTGCTTCAGGTTAAGAACTTTGCTTCAGGATGAGAACAGAAATCGGGCTCCGGCAGCATGGCAGCAGCAGGAGGCCCCATTAGCTAAAGTGGTGCTTCAGGTTAAGAACAGTTTCAGGTTAAGTACGGACCTCCGGAACGAATTAAGTACTTAACCTGAGGTACCACTGTACATGTCAGAATTATGAGCATGCAGATGGGGACAGCTCTTTTGCAGGGTTCCTCCACCCCCTTAATGCCTAGTCTTCTGTAATTCTAATCTCATGGAAATATAGATGATGAGAAGAGGAACTACAAGTCTGCCTGAGCTATGGTGAACCTCGTTATTGTGATGACATTTTGTCAGCAGCTAATGATTGCTGCCATGGGCAGTACTTTGACTCAGCACCAGTGTCTCAATCTGTCAGATCACTCCTCTGAATGGAGTTTGCAGAATGACAGCTCAAACCGGTCAGAAGGAAGTGGAATGAAACAGTCATCTCCCAAATCAATCCCTACGCCATCCACACAAAAACAAGGTTGATGCTTGTACACATGTCAGGCTTTTTCTTTCTTTCTTTCTTTTTGCAGTAGATGGGAAAATGTTTGGTTATTGATTTCATTATTCTGGAACGCTGAATATAAACAGTGTTGTGTGGCAGCATGCAATATATATATATATATATATATATATATATATATATATATATGGAAAACCCAGCAGTTATACTAGAAATGTCAAGTGTGAAAAGGCCTGTATAAAATTATTGTGCATCTATAGTGGCTGGGTGCAACAGAATTTTATCTGGAAAACACGGAGGAAGACCTAGTCCATTGCACACCTGCCTCTGCAGCTAGCATATGCAAAAAAAATGTTAAACTGATGGATTCACACATTTACATCACATTTGTAGGTTAGCCCTAAGCAACAGTAGCACATCAGATAATGAATTTGCCACTGCACCAAGGTTTCAAAACATGAATGGTCTCAAATCAGAAACCCTGGGATCAAACATCTATACCAGGGAAGCCCATCAACATCTGGGTGGCCTGAAGTTCCATCATCTCCCAATCACTGTGTGCAAGATTGACACACTACGTGGTTAGAGTATTGTGTTTAATTCTTTAGCTATAATGCTGTTTCTGGACCATATCACTGGGCAGTCCTTAATGGAATGTTACCATAATGTGTGTTCTGACCTCTCCTCTCAGTAGCTGCTCCTCTGCCCTAAAACCTTTTCCTGCACTGGAGATGCATGCCGGTATTTCTGTACTTGTGCTCACACACTAAAAAATAAATTTAAAATGTTACATGGAAAAAATACGAGAGACATTACACATAATTCTGTAAAACAAGAAAAACTTTAATAAAATAAATAAATAAATCAGGATGTTTCCAAGAGCAAATGTTAAAAGCTTTGGGCACAATAGAGTCTTGTGCTTTTTGGGAGAATGGTCAACAACCATTCCATTCCATTTATTTATTTATTTATTTATTTATTTATTTATTTATTTAAAAAACAAACAAAATGTGGCGTTTGCCCCCTAGGATGTGTCAAGGAAAGGGTTAAAATGGGTGTGAGGTGATTGGCCAGTGAGAATGCAAGGGGGAGTAAAAGATAGAGTGGGAGGTTTTGAAAAGTCAGTTGAGGTCTGGGGGTTGTCGGTTGAGGTGTGGGAGTTGGGAGTTGAGTTTTGTCAGTTGGGAGTTGAGGCTTGGGTGTTGGAGAAGGAAGAGGGTTGAATACGCAGTGGGTTGGTTCTTTCATCCAAATATTTGCTGCCTGCCAAAAAATGGTAGTCAGGACCTTGTCCACTATTGGACTTGGACACAAAAGGGCTCTTTAGCTGTATGAGGCAATTTCCTTGGACAGGCCAGCAAAGAGGTCCCATACCACTGATCTAGAGATAGTGTGCTCTACCCTTTCATCCCAATCTTCTCCATCTGGTTTGCAATATAAAATTACAGTTCTTGCTACCTTAATTTAACAGTTGCGGCAAAGAAAGACTCTTTGCTTGTTTCAAGACTCTCTCTTTTGCTTTTAATTAAACAGCAGATTTGCACCTTGCATTGTGTTTATTATGTCTGCAAGTTTTAATCAGTTTAATCAGTGAAGTTGATTAATTGGAAGGGGCAATTTTCATCAGCAAGGCAGAGAGCTGAGGGTATTTTTGTACCTACTTTTAGTACTGGCGTTATTACTATAATATGGAATGAATCAAAAGTATTGAACGTTGGTTCTGTTCTTACAAGCAGCTAGTAGTTTTTGCTTATTATACTGAAAGTTCTCTCATACCTTCATTGTCTCAAAAGGGCATTGTTGGGCAATATGCAAATATTCTTAAATGTAATTAAGTGTTCAGTTAATGGGTCAAATAGCAGGTGATTAATCAACTAAAATTGTTCAATCAGTTGACAGCTATGCAATATGGAACATTATTGTACAACCACTGGGTTTTCTCATGAGAACCTACATTTAGGCTAGAAATATATTTCCAGAGGAGCTAAATAAAGTATAAAATCATGACTGTATGTTCGAAATAGGTATAAATGAGTACTTTGAAGTCAGGCCAGCTGTCAGCTATTTTTTTCTGCTATCTCCTGCTATTAACTTCATTATGACAGGTCTGTTTTATTGTTGCTGCGATAAACTGATTTATATTAACCATGATAGGTAAGGTTTGGCAGACTTGACATGAGCAGCTTCTAGTTTAAAAGGCTCAAAATTCTATTTTAGGAGTTTGCAAACTAGTCCTCACCAGAATTTGCATGTATAGTCAGTTATCTGAGAGCCAGCACAGTGTGGTGGTTAAGTGCGGTGGACTTGTAATCTGGTGAACCGGGTTCACTTCTCCCCTCCTCCACATGCAGCTGCTGGGTGAACTTGGGCTAGTCACACTTCTCTGAAGTCTCTCAGCCCCACTCACCTCACAGAGTGTTTCTTGTGGGGGAGGAAGGGAAAGGAGATTGTTAGCCACTTTGAGACTCCTTAGGGTAGTGATAAAGTGGGATATCAAATCCAAACACTTCTTCTTCTTCTGTCTGTGCCTATGTGTCATACCACATACAGTATGTTCCTTCCCCCACCCCACCCCTCCCTCCCTCCATCCCTCACACACACTGAGGAGCAATCACATTTTAAAATGTGCTTAATTGGGACAATGTTTGGTTTAAATACCACTTATAAGAGTTTGCTGTGTATGTGAAGAGTTGAATATTCATTCGTGGTTGGCAGCTGATTGTTACTTAGCAGCATAAAGCCGATTGGGGGTAAGTTGGCTTCTCTTAATGCTGAGTTACAGGATTGTAAAATTGCTCTTCTGATTGGCTTGCTAGATAGAAACTCTTGGTCACTCATTGGACAGGAAGTGTGGTCTATATACCAATCAAATCTTATTGGCTGAAGGGTAGGCTGGTTGGAACATAAATAGCCTAGTTCTAGCACAGCTTAGGGAGCATGTGACAGTCTGAGATTGCTAACCAGAAGAAGAAGAAACTGGGAGAGAAAGCAGAGCGTAGGAGTCTAGAGTTGAAGCAGAAGCCGGAGGAAGACAGGCAAGAGGTGGTTGAGGAAAGCCTGGGAGTATCCTCTGCTTCCAAAGAGCTGAACCACCAGCTTAAGCAAATCAAAGGACTGTGAGCAGTGAGGGAGAGTTCAGCAAGGAGCTCCTGGAGCTGACCAGAGCGAGAATGCCTGCAAGCCTGACTTATAGGAGAACTAGCCCAAGGCCTTTTTTGCATGGCAGTGGTGAGAACTTACTGGTCGCTATGGGTAATTGGCAACCAAGTTAAGCAGGGATAGGAATTGTGGTTCACCATTGAGTCTTATGTAAGTTCCTATATTTGCAAACAACAGCCAGTTATAATAACAACCACCTTGTAAAAGCAAGCACAGGTTAACAGGTAACCAAAATATAGTATTTACCTTGTTTTACTTTTCTATTTAATAATAATTGGAGAATATTTCATCATTTTGATTTACTTACAAAGTGTGTCTGGCTTGCTTTTGTACCATGTCTAATCTACCACAGCTACTAGTATTTTAAAGGCGTTGGTTAACAGCACAATACAAATATATGGCAGCAGCAGTTAGAAGCTGGTTCTCTACATATTGAGGAGAGCTAATAGACCACTCATTGGGGGAGGGGCTTTGTCATGGGGCCTCTAGTGCATAGTCTCATCCCCTTCCCTTCCTCCCATTCCAGTCATTCACCCTCAACGGCCTCTACCAATTAGTCTGAATCGGAGTGCTCAGAGGGACCCATGGCGCTGAGCATCATGTCAGCATCTGCAGGCATCTGTTAGCAAAAGATGTCTTGGGAGAGCTTGACCCTAAGAAGCAGCCTATAAATATTTGCACCAGAGTTTGACCCTTCTGCATTACAATTTTCTTATTTCAATTGAATTAAATGTTATTTAGGTTGTTTCAGATGAACAAACAAAGCGATTCCTAATGCACTTTCCTATTTGCTGGGCCGATGATGTTACAGTTCCACCAGTCCCAAAGGATTCACAGTATTAAGTGCTCTGTGACCCTATAGTTCACTTGAAAGGCTCTGTGAAATTTAGTAAACAAAGACACTACTCCTAGAAATGAGGGTATCTCTTGTTTTCTAAATTGCTGTTTCAAAGAGCAACAGAAGACTTCATTTAAGATCACTCCCTTCTCTCTTTAGAAATCTTCTCTCCTTGTAGACAGAGGAACAGATGGGGGAGGAGGTACAGAATCTATGAACATAAAAGAAAAAGCTTGTCAAAATATTCTTGTATGTCTTCCTTTAAACCTCCCTGCCTGAGTAATCCATGATCAGAGACAAATATTAAACATTTTTACAACAATCTACTCTTTTAAACCTAAATGCTACACTCTAGGAAGTTGAGCCTCATAAGACAAAACCCAAGAATTCCACACATGGGTAAATGTTTTATAAACAAGTCACTAACTTCGTCATTTGATTTTCTTCTTTGCCCATCACATATTGCCTAGGGAGATAAAGATTTATTTTTGTTAATTTATTCATTACAATAAAACTATTTGCCAAATAATCTCTCCAAAAAGGCAGGCATGGAAATTATGCTTAAGCCATTTTATCTTGGAGTGTGCACACAATAGTTTGATTGCACACTTAAGAGAGATCATAGGAGTCTGCTCCCTCAAGGGTAAATCACATAGGAAGGCTTCCAGGGTAAATAATTGCAACTCTAAATCCATGTTCTTTGCAGATAGCTAGGCTTGAGAATCCTTTGTTTTGGGAAACTTGTTCCGGTCGAAGAAGAAAACACAAAAGAAGTTCAATGCAATAAACATTCCCAACCTCCCTCCCCACCCACAGACACACAAGTATAAAGAGCATAACCCAGGAAAATGGAGGACAAAATGCATGCAAATGACGCCATGAACATTTGCATCTAGCATATATAGAGACTTATCCTGATTTAGAGCTCAGAAAAATCAGGTCCTCGGGTTATGCAGAACAACCTCCACCCCTGACTCACAACTTAGGGGGCAAATTTCTGTGTCAAGTATTTCAGATTTGACTTCAAGAGCTGGGTTGCAGTCAGTAAGTCAGAGCTTTCCAAACTGTGTGTCGCGACACGTTAGTGTGTTGGCTGCAGTGTTTAGGTGTGTTACGCGAAGGCTCCTCCCAGGGCTGGAAAGGGGTTGGTTTAACCTCCAGTTTGCTAGTAAAACTGAATTACTGTGTCGCAAAATGATGCATGTCTAAAAAGTGTCTCACCAGCATGAAAAGTCTGGAAAGCCTTGCTTGAAAGGCTAAGACTTGGAGAAGCAGTCTGAGTCACTGAACGAACTTCCTTGCATTGCTCTACACATGGTTTCCGCCACCCACAAAGCCAAAGCATCTCCTGTTATGACGGGAGCCTCCCTGGGCAAAGTATCCCACAGAAAAAGTCCATTGCCCCAAAGGGCTACTCTGGGGACCCATCTGCACTATGCATTTGAAGTAGTATAAGAATTTATTTATACCCCGCCCATCTGGCCGGGTTTCCCCAGCCACTCTGGGTGGCTCCCAACAGAATATTAAAAACACCAAACATTAAAAACTTTTCTAAACAGAGCTGCCTTCAGATGTCTTCTAAAAGTCAGATAGTTGTTAATTTCCTTGACATCTGATGGGAGGGTGTTCCACAGGGCAGGCGCCACTACCGAGAAGGCCCTCTGCCTGGTTCCCTGTAACCTTGCTTCTCACAGTGAGGGAACCACCAGAAGGCCCTCGGAGCTGGACCTCAGTGTCTGGGCTGAACAATGGATCTAGTATCATACCTAGATTAGTTTCTTTTGTAATGTATTATGAAAAGGCTTAATAAAATTTTATTTTAAGAAAGTAGTATCCTACCACTTTAAATAGTCATGCCTTCCCTCAAAGCACTCTGCTGAGAGTTGTTAGGAAACCCTAATTCCCCTCAGAGAGCTACAATTCCCAGAGTTCCTTGGGAAGAGAAATTTATTGTTAAACCACCCTGGGAATTGTAGCTGAGAGGGGCCCAGCTCTATACCAGAGGAGGCTGTTACTCTGAAGGTTATATAACTACTTCTGTACACCCAGTTCCAACTATATAATTGCAACACGTGGTGCCACACAATCCCAACTGCCAATAAAAAACCAGTCAGCACTGGTAGCAGACACAAATGCCAACCTTGCATTCAAAGTGGCCTTCAAGGCCACAATAAACAGAAACTTTCACAGCCAAACAGTTACATTCTCCTTGTTGGGCTGTAAATGAAGATATTCCTGAACAGAACATGTCCACCCATGGGCACACACTCCATATGTACGTTGGAATCAATAGATAACAGGCACAAGTAAACACCTGGCTGAAATGATGTGGGGAAAACCTTTGGCTCCCCAGATGTTGCTGAACCACAACTCCCATCATCCCTAGCCGTTGACCATGCCTCCTGGGACTGATGGGAATTGTAGTTCAGCAACATTTGGAGGAAAACCAAGGTTCCCTGCACCTGCTCTATGTAGCCATGAGTTCCACAGTATTATTCTAATAACTTTACACTTTTCAGATTTATAGAATGTCACCTTGCTCTTTATTGGATAAAGGAAAGTGGAAGTGCCAGCCTGACCTTCTCAATATTCTTCATGGTTTTATATATCTATTTAATGGCCTCTCTTATTAGCCTCCTTCCAGAGGTCTTCCCATTTTTCTTATTTTTACTCTGTTCCTATGTAGCTCTTCTATTTCTGTTAGCTGTTTTATGAGATAGACTGGCAAAAAGTGGAGTATTAAGTGCCCTATTGATCCGTTCTTGTAATAAGTTCAGCCTGACGCCATTCTTTATACAGAAACAGAACATTCTAGATTTGTTTTCCATTCTAACTGCCATTTTGGATCATCAGTTGTATTAATTTGTCAAATAGAGTATATTGCTGATATGTGTCCAGTTTTAAAATGTCAAGGATGAAAGTAGCTACTATGGACATTATGTGGAATTTAATGCTGCATTCCCATGCACATTTACCTAGGAGTAGGGCCCATTGAACTCAGTAGGGCTTCCTTCTCTTGCTTCATTGTAATTTTCCTTCCTGAGGAAAATATTTGAACTAATGCACTTCATTAACACCATTAATTCCTGATTACATTCTAATTTGCTTTTGATTGCCAGTCACATTCTTAATATGTCTATTGCATTTCAGTACCATTGTTTTAAATGAAATATATTTTGTGATCATTATATTTCACTTGTTTTGCTGCAGTAGTTGTTCAGAGGCATCACAGTAAAAAAGGAGAAGATTCAAAGCAAGAATTTGAAAGGCTCCATTAAATATATCGGGAGCTGTTCGTGGGAAGCTTCTCTCACACATAAAGGTGAACAACCGAACTGTGTAAATTGTATTGCAAGTCACAACTGGTTATTTTGTATGCAATCATGTTATGTATTTTAAAACATGAGCCGATCATACTATACCAGTTCCAGTTAGCAATGGCACACTGGCAGAAAACAGGAAAAAGCAGAGAGCGCAGCTCATTCTGCAAGTAATTATATGCTGCTAAAAACCACACTTGAACCTCATGGCCTTGCTGTGGTGATTCAGTTTCAGATATATTTTCTCTTGTGGAAATGTATCCTTTCTTGAGCTGAGTTTAATGTTTCTTGTTGGCTGGATTTTTATGGTTACCAAAGCTCCCCAAATTCTCTATGCACCTAGCTGCAAATCTGAATCAAAAATATAATATTGCCAGACACTCAGGACAAATGTGAGCAATTACCTCGGGTAGGATGTATGTAGGCAGGCTGCAGGCAGAAATCAGAAAGGATGAAGTGGTCTGGTGAAATGGTGGGAGGACTCGGTAGACTCTTTCAGCTACAAGTTTCCCAGAGGAGGAGTAAGGGAGCAAATCTGGGAGTCTTATAGCAGCCAGCCAGGCCACCAGATTGGTCCTCTTATTTCCCAAGCCAGGAGGATATGGGCTGTGATGTGCAGCTGAAATTATATGTAATGGCCTCCTTTGAGCAACAGTCACAATAGCCAAGGAAGCCAGTATCTGATCCACAGTGTTCCCTGGTTTAAGACCACTCATCAGCTGATAAGTGGAGACTTAATTCCTGCTCTCTGCTCCTACAGCATGTTCCCTGCAGCATATGTGTTGGCAAAGCAGTACCCAGAAGGACTGAACTCTCTACTCATCAGCTGATGAGAAGGGAGTGAAATCCTTCTCCTTTGTCATTGTACCAGTTCCCAGCAGGACCCCAATGGTGTCAGCTGATTGACAGGTGGGTGTGGCCTTGGGGAAATTGCCTAATTGGCCAAATTGGACCCCCTGGCTGGAAGTCCCATACCCCTGGGGTGGGCAATATTGAACCAGTGGGATGGTTAGTCTGGTGCTGAGTACAGCAGCTTTTCCTTATACGCCAATAAATGTTGTCAACATATCATTAGGGGCCTACTAAAATAACACAAGAAATGAGTGACTTAGAAAATTATCTACTGAAGACTTTCTTTTTGTGTTAAATGCTTCTTCCTTTATAGCTAATGCCAAAGCCAGATTTCAGGAGTCTGTATGCACCACTGAAGGTTTCACATGCATTGGTATTGCAATCAGGACTCACACCTGGGAAAATATATATATATATACAACTCATTAGATGGAAGAAAAAGTTCATTAAGTTGGCCTTGTCCGTCTAGTTTTTGGGTTCTTTAGTCTTTAAACAGTGTGAGGAATGAGGGGTGGGACTTGCGTATACCAAATGTAATGTTACAATCCTTGTATAAAAAGGACATTTCATAGTAACTAGTAGCAATTTCATTACTGAGTGCAACCATGCCATAAGGCAATGAATAAAACTCAATATTCCCTGAAACACTGCAGCAAAAAGATAAAGTGTGAGTTTCATAATTGCACCCGTTATGCATATAATCTGAAATGTATTGCACAGTATATCAACAATTCAAACCACTGTACTCCTAGATTCCACAGATTGCTTCCTAAAACAGTTCTATCTCATTTTCCTAGAATGAATTAGTAATGAGATTTCACTTTTGTTCTCTCACTGGAGTTAGCAGATGTTGTTCGATTCCACCTCCCATCAATCCCTGTCAGCATGGCCAATGGGTGGGGGTTGATGGAAGTTGTCACTCATCAACATCTGGCGAGACACAGGTTCTCCACCCCTGTTTTTGTGCTACAGAATAAAAGAAATCCACTTTTAAAAAAAAAAAAAAATAGAATAAGGCTTTCTCAAAAAGAACAAAACAATTGAATTAATTTGAATCCACAATTTACATAAATTATCCATATAGTTTGTACCTCTCTGCAGTGTAATGTTTCTTTGTTTTGAAAGAGCAAAATCTCATCTTAATTTGATTAGTGCATGGATTGTACTTTATCTGCTATCTTAAAGGCTTAGGACATTAACATTTGTATGCTGCTATTCTATACATATTCTACACTACATACAATTTATCTTGTGCTAGCTATCCATGCACATTTAGTCAGAACAGATTACCTTTGTTCACATTATCCTTGAGTAATTATCCACAATATCCTTGAGTAACTTTAGTCCTTGAGAAAGATACCATTTCTCCAATGAAAATAGAGACATCCTAAAGAAAAGCAGGACATTCTGGGATCAAATCAGAAACTGGGACAGCTTCTGTAAATCCAGGACTGTCCCTAGAAAATAGGGACACTTGGAGGTCTGGAATAGGGTTTGTTCATTTATTATTTTATTTATTAAATTTCTATGCCTCTTTTCATCTGAGGATCACAGGGCAGTTTGCAATTTAAAAAAACCCAAAAAATGCATGACAGTAACAAACAAAAACAATACCCCCCAAGTCTGGGGAGTGTGCTGAGGACCAGATAGAAAGGTTTGGAAGCCACTTTTGGCCTCCAGGCCTGAGGTTTCCTCCCCCTAAGTGAATGAAAGCAGAAAAGCTAGTCAAGGATTTCCAACTGGATATCTTTATTTGGAACCATAATATGAAACCTTCAGTCCTGCTGAATGCAAAAATAGCTAAGCTCTTTCTTCTTGATCTGAATGCTTCTATCTTCTGTTTCTTTTGTATTAGGAAGAGATGATATAAATTGCAATGGGGGGTCTCCACCTCTTGTAAGTTACCTTGCAGGAGAAAGGAGGAGAAACATCAAAGGACCCTTCCATTGGCCAACTTTTAGCAATTTGTATTCTATGCATGAAGCCTGGATTTTTTTTCAACGTTGAAAAATAAACTTGGGACATAAATATATATATTTAAAATAGTATAATAAATATCCATCTCTTGGGTACTCTGTAACCTATCCAGAATCACTCCACTTTTCTCCCAAGCTCAGAATATTCTTGTTCTTTGGTGAAACCGTATTACCTTCTAGTCTTGCCAGCTTGACAGTGGTGACAAATAATATATACTGCGAAGAATACATTCTCGCCCATGTGGAATAAATCTTGAAATGACATTTCAGTTTCCAGGGGAAGATTTTATACAACTACCAAATTCCATATTAGACAGTGGAGAACTTACGCAAGCACCATCTTGACCATATCTTGCAGAATGCAGAAAAAGACCCTGCAGATAATCGGGTTGAATTCTCACACCTAAAGAGTATATAGGTTGTTTTCTTTTCCTGATGTGTGTCCAGGTTTGCAAGAAACTGTAAGAGGGGTTATCCTTTCTAGCAAAAAAAAAGCAGGTCACAGATGCTGAAATGCAGCAGATTTCTGGTGAGATATGAAGCAAATTAATGCATTTGTATCCTGCCCTTCCGTCGACATGTTCAAGGTGGGATACTTATAGGGTTATCTCATTTTATAATTGCAACAAGACTGAACGGAGACTACAAACGAGAGTTGCCATATATCCTTTTCTATTGTAAGTGTGAAGGAGAATCCTCACTGTGCAAGATGACCTTCCAATTTGCCTGCCCTAAGACCAAAAAAACAGCAGAAGTCAAGCCTGTTCATGTATTTGCCTGAACATGTGAGCTCTTACTGTGTCCAAGGACAGGGGCAGGGGGCACAAATGCAAGCTCTGTCCCCAATGCAAGCTCTTTGTGCGCAGTCCCAGAACTTCCTCATGTTGAATGCAGAAGATCTGCACAGGCCGTTACTCATTTTCACTTGATGTGAACCCACAGCATGATTAGAAAACAATCTTCATTAGGATACCCAACTGTATGAGACACTATTGCATATGAGATCCTGCTCCACTTCTCATTTTTCTCTGATCCCAAGATGGTACAGAATTCAGAACTGATCTTCCAGGCATTTGTAATTCCTACCATCCTCTAATATCAACAAAGTGTTGCACAATAGCTTGGGGGGTTTCTGTGGGCACATCAGATCATCTTTTTATATGATGCACTATTTGCAACCCAGCTGTGACACTGCCAGAAATGTTTCAAACCACGAGCGCAGCAGTTGCTTGTTGCAACAATATCAAAGAGCCACAAGATGCAACCTGGGTGTGTTGAGCTTCCTGGAATGAACCAAGAACTAATTAAGAGCAACACTCACTTCCCCTGCCTTGAGGCGAGAGGAACAGATCACGGACTGAGCCCTGCAAAACTTAAATAAGGTTGGTTTGATGCTATAAACAATTCCATATTCATAAAGCACTTTCATGTTTTCTACACTCATGTTTCTGAGGCGTAAAAGAAAGTTGAAAGAAAAGTCTTCCCATTGTCTGTTACAATATAATTAAAGAACAGGAATCCCCCACTAAATATGTAGATGTTATCTATTGTGGGCAGTGGCATAGCGTGGGTTGCCAGTGGCCGGGGCTGTGCAGAGGGCATGGGGTGAAAGGGAGGGAAATGAATAGAGTACACATGCACATTCAACTGCCTAACGGCATCCGTATCACCCAGGAGATTGCAGTTGCAGAGCTAAGAAAAGAAGAGTCATTCCATTGTCTGAAAAGGCCGCTTCCTGGTTTGCATGGTGAAGCTGTTTTCAATGGAACCCAGCGATGGAAGCACACAGCTGTATTGAGGCAGCCCCATGTGTTGAAATTTTGTGCCCTAAAATTGTTGTGCCCGGGGCAACTGCCCCTGTGGGCTCTCTCTATGCTACACCACTGATTGTGGGCCCAGGTGCAGTGGAGCCAATGGCAGAAGGAAGCTGAAAACAACACAGGGGGTTTTTGTTCATTTATTATTATAAGACACATGACAGCGTTGGCATCCAATGGATGGAGGAGTGTGCCATCAGTGATAAAGTGAAACCACTGGAAAGTTACAGCACCTACTGTGGCTGTACAGACCAATATGGGAGAGACATGTTTCGTTACAGCTGGGGCAAATGAAGGTGTCTAGTTTGCGCCATGGCATTTCTTCTCTCTGTGCTCCTCCCAGTGATCATTTCTTCTCTGGTCACTGCTGTGGATACACAACCTGTCTGTCTGTCTAGGCACTGTGGTTGTCTGCAAGGGATTCCCACACAAATTAATGTTGCCAGCCTTCATGTCATGTTTGCAGGCATATTTATAATGCAGAGTTGATCCACCAACAGGCCTGGTGCCTAAAACCACATACAGCACATCCTTGGAGATCCTGCCATGACAGCAGTATGGGATTATCCAGGCCACAGCTTTATTGATTACAGATGTTGGCAGGTTTTGTGGTAGGTATTGGGTATGTATCCTGAAATCAACCAGCACAATGGCAATAATAAATTAACATAATAATATATTTCACATAGGATGAATAATCCACACCTCTCTGCCCATCAAAAATACAAAGATGTTTACAAACTCAAAATTCCCTGGAATTCCTGTACAAGCAGGGTGGGTAACATTTTTGGGCCTAAGGGCCACTTTCACCAACCCTCTGGGGGCCACATGCAGAAATAGGTGTCGCCAGAAGTGGGTGTTTCCACCCAAACTTCAAGAAGAAGGGTTGCACAAAACAGACACACAGCCCGCTGCTTCCCATCTCTGCAGATGGGAGCTAAGGAAGAGCATATCACACTAACAGCATTCGCCCAGTGTTTGCTTTTATGACCTGGGGGTAGAGAGATTGACATCTTTATTAGGACCACGGGGCTTGGCAAGGTTCAAACCTCTCCAAAAAACACTGTGGTGTGTCTGCTTTTAGAAATTGGCTTCCTTTTCCTGTTTCCTGCCAAAATCAGTGGGGTGGAGGTGAGCTAGAAAAAAGCAAAGCTGATTATGCTCTGAAATCAATGCTGAAGGAAAAAGCGGGGAAAGCACAAAACAAATAAACAAATGCAATCAAAAGAACAGGCAAAGCTGCTAAATGGTACTGAAAAGCAAGTCTTTATCAAATAATAACAGCCCTTGTGAAACCATAAAATTCCCAGCACTTTTCAGCTGATGACAACCTTCCTCAGGGATGCAAGATGAAGGTTCTTCTGTCAAAGGAACATCTCATTTCTTTTTCAATACCTGTTCTGAGACTCTTCTTTTGCTTCCTCTGGAATATATCTGAAGCAAATGTTTTGATCAATTGTCCCAAAAGGTCAGTCGAACAATACAATCTCGTGAGCTACGCGATCATTGTGCATTATCAGCAGAAGTGATGGCAACTGTGAGTTGAGCTCAGCATTCCTCATGCTATACATGGAGAAAACTCCTAAGTACAGAATACAAAATACAATCAGGCAGAATTATGAAATGGAATCCTGGGAAGGAATGTAGAGCAGCCCAACCAAGGGCCAGCTCCTAGTTTGGGGCAGCCCTTGGCAAAATGTCATCCCATGAGGACTCTCTGCTAGCCACCAACTTAGGTAGCCTTTAAAGAAGATAATACAAATTCATAGAAGATAAAGCTACCAATGGCTAATAGCCACAATAGATATGTCCTTCTTCCAGTTTGCTTGGAATCACAGGTGGGCAGAGTACTGTTGCACTCAGGCCCTGTGTTTGGGCTTCCCATAGGCATCTGGTTAGCCACTGGTTAGACACTGGCCCAATCTTTACTCAATTCCTCATGGATCTCTAGGACTTTAAGCAGGACCACATCCCCTAGAACCCCTGAAACAGATTTGGGTGTGTGTGAAAGAAGGACAGGATGGAAAGCCCCATTGCATTTGCAGTAATCCTTGCACTAACAAGACCTTGAATTCACACTACGTTGAATACAACCTACCGTGTCTACACAACACCCGTAGAATCACAGTGATGTTGCATGCATCGAAATGGTGAGCGATGCTAAGAGAATATACACAACTCTAAGAACATAATTGGCTAATTTTTGTGTAAGCTGAATGGAGCAGGCATTCAGTTGGGATCCAGTAAGGCCTGGAAGGTGGGAGAAAATTAAGAGTGACGAAGAACAGTTAGGAGTACCGTGGTTGCCTATAAGCAGTGTTTCAGATTGATAGCAAGGAAATATCACTAACAAATTAGGGGCATGGCAGGAAAATGAGACATGAGCAATAATTAGGCAAAATACATGATATTAACATAAATTCACATAACACAAACTTACAATGTGAACTCATCTGAATATTAGTTCCGTGATCTGCTGAGGTGGTTGATTTCTGCTGCAATTCCTCCCAACTTTTAAACACTTCCCCAGGAATGGAGTTGAATCTGTGTGCAACCAACTTTGATATGTGCCCATGCTCTTAGAGCATAAAGAACTGACTTACAAAACATTTCAGATGAAGGTCACCCACTTTGACTAGACCGAAACACAATAGTAATGTCCTTTTCTTAATCTTCTTGAAGCCTTTCCTTCCAAGCATTACAGTTTCATCCCTCATTTCTTTTGTCTCATTTCACGTCTCCTCTTATGGCTGCTTTAATATGCTTATTCGCCAATATCTCACTTGAACAGCTCCAATTCACTTACTGTAGGTAATTAGCTCGGAGTTCCTGAGCCCCTGTCATCTGCACTGCGGGCTGCTCTAGCTTGCTGAATTTTTTTTTTTAAATCCTCCTTGGTTAGAAACAAAAAGAGACTCTGGATAGAGTAATGGGATTATGTGGCCTGATCTTTTTGTCAGTTCCTGTTCAGACTTCTTCTTTTCTTGTGTTTGTTGTATGCCTATAGGCATGGGAGCCAACTCCTAGGGACCAATGTCCCTTCGGCTCCCCCAATAAAATATTTCAGGGGGCTAGACCCCCCAAAAGTTGATGGGTATTGTCATTCAAATGGTTTGTGTGTGCCATGTCTTATGATCGATTATGTCCCATCCCCAATATTTTTATTCAAGTTGGCACCCCTGCCTGTAGGCAAAGTGGAGATTTTAATCTAGGCTAGTTAGTGTATTTAAGTGTGGAGAATCAGTGGGTTCAGTAGCACAGAACAGGTTGAAAATTGTTTGGATGTATATATGGAAGCAGACATTGTCCAGTCTTCCATTATTGTACCTGGTCCTATCTGAAACCAAGTGAGACCACTGGTCCATTTAGCTCAATATCACTATGCTAACTGGCAGTGGCCCTCCAGGATTTCAGCCTAGAATGCAAACCATGTGCAGCCATTCCTTTTCAAGTCCCATGGGGCCTTCTTCTCCTGCTCGCAAAGGTCCATCCAATGCTAAGCTCCATATTTCATCTCCTGACACAGAGTATAGTCTTACTCACCAATGTCTCACATCTACTCTTCGACCATCTGTCATCCATATTTACAACTTCCATTGCCTGCTACCTAGTTGGCTTCTTCCTTGCCTCCTGACAGAATCAGCCCCACTATTCTTTCTTTACCTTCTGTAGTTTCTGAGCTGAATAAAGCACCCACAGGGCTGGAAATCCCATCCGCCAGCTCCTCCATTCAAGATGACCACCTAGAGTTGATTCGTGATACGCTGATATGAGTGGGTGTCTATGAAATTAAAGGCCCTTGAAATAAAAGATGTTCTATAGATGGAATTCGTGTGGGCTTTTTTTACTTTTTTACTTTACAGGAAAGGACATTGCTTTTGACAAAGCATACTACAATCTCAAGAGGAATAGCATAAAAAGTGTAAAGTCATGGTCACTGAAGGTATAATGAGAAACAAATCATACACAGAAGATACTGCAGAGGAGTGTTCATACCCACTGGGATTACCAACTTGTACAATGCGGACTACCATCTTTCACATCGGGCTTAGTGGTGTGTTGCGCCAGGGCACCAGCCTCTCAGGGGCACCCCAGTGAGTGGGGGAGCTGCGCGGCTTTGCTGACGGCCTCCCCTTTCCCTGCACACCTGCCAGCTGTACCCTATCAACCATATGGCTGGCGGGTGTTCAGCTTGCCTCCCAAGCCTCTGCGGGAGGAGAGCAATCCCTGCAGAGGTTTAGGATGCAAGCTGCGCCCCACCAACTATGTGGCTGGAAGGCGTGCAGCTTCCTTCCCAAGCCTCCGCGGGAATTGATCTCCTGCAGTGGCATAGGAGAGAGTTGTGCGCCGCCCCTCCCCCCCATGGCTGGCAGTACGCAGCTTCAAACCCCCCCACACACACTATCCGTGGTAATTTGGGAGTGCTGGGCAGATATTTGCACCCTGGAGCCACATAGCGTGTTCTCCCTAACAGAGAGCACGTGTTGCGGTTGGGGGAACAAGCCACCCTGCCGTTACTGGGCAGATTTTGTGAGGAACCCAAACCTTTAAGTGGTTAAAATTGGGTTGCTGGGGAGTTTTGATTGTTGCCAATTTGGAGGAGGGGTCAGAGTCTTTAAATACAGGGGCCAGATGTTGGACGTCCTCTTGGCCGTTTTGCACTGGATCACCCGCCCTCCCTCCCTTTAATAGGGTGGTTTTTTCTTGATCGCTTGACCTTGCTATGCCTGTCATGGGGTCGTCCGCCTTGGAGTGGGGGCCTGGTAGGAATTTTGCCATCTGGCTGATTGGCTGGTGCCATTTGGTTTTTGCCTACTGCGTAGCAAATCGTCACAACTTGTAAGGTTGGCGGTTAGGCATTGGTTAAATTGGTGCTTGGAGGGGTAAGTGCCTATCCCTCCAAATGATGCGGAAAGGGAATTCCGTTAAAGGAATCCAGGGGCTTGCCATTCTTTTCGTCCTTGTCCCTGGCATCGGACTTGGGCCGTGCAAGCCCCACAGGAACATGAGGGTGAGAAGTGAGGGACTGATACCCAGCTTCATTTTCTCACCCAATACTTGTTTCCCACGCTGGCTTCCGTTGGTGTCCGGAAGGCCAGCTCTGTCCCTGAGGGCAAGGACAGATAGTCATAACCAATGCCTAAGCAACCACTCACATTTTTTGTATTTTGAATAAAGTTGTGGCCAAAATTATGCCAAAAACCTTAAACAAAAATTGATGTGTGAAGTGTGAATTTTTTGGGGGGTGGCATTGTGGGACTCAACACGCAACTGCTAAAGACGGCCCTGCAGACTACTTAAACTCAAATTAGAGGGCCAAAGCTCAAACGCATACACAAGTGGGGTTTAACTCCAATAATAATAATAATAATAATAATAATAATAATAATAATAATTTTTATTTATACCCCGCCCTCCCCAGCCAAGGCCAGGCTCAGGGCGGCTAACAAGCAATAATAAAAACAAGTTGAATGAATACAACTTAAAAACAAGATTAAAATACAACAATTAAAATGTTGAAACATTAAAATATTAAAATGCAGCCTCATCACAGGAGGAGAAAGGAAAAAGGAAAAAGAAAGAGGGGGAGGGAAACAAATTGGCTCCAAGCTAAAGGCCAGGTGGAACAACTCTGAAGATTGCCACTCATTTCCAGTGAATCCACAACAATCTGTTAGAGGAGCTGCCCCAATGTGTCCTTATCACCGTATGTGGTGTCCTCCAAAGGTGGAAACTTTTTGGACTGTGATCTTGTTAGAGGTGGAAGCCATTACAAAGCAAACCATAGTTATGCTACTGTTTGATGTAACATTATTGACTTTGTTTGATGTGGGCAATGAAGGTCCATAGAGGAGAGGATTGATCAGCCACGTTTCAGTGGCAGCACAAGTAGTAATAGCTCTGACATGGAAAACACTAGGGGAAGTCTGTGCAGCTAGGTGGCACAGACAGGTGTGGCAAATTGTCCTTTGGGAACGGTTGATCCAAGTTATGAAGGTGTCTAGAGGACAAAGTAAACAGATCAAAATATGGGTGTTTAATTTTATCATGCACAAAAATAATGAGAAACAAGGGTGACCAATATCATTATATATAAACCTCTGGGCACCCTAATTGTAAGGCATTTTTACTTCTCTGCTATTTTTTCTATTTAGGAGGGAAGTCATTATTAGAAAGATACCTTAACAAAAAAAAATGAGACTAAAAAACTGAGTTAAGAAAATGCAGTGATCTAACTACAGCATAAACTTACAAATCCAACGTTATTTGATTGTGCCTGCTGGAAGAGAAAGGTAAAACCATTAGTTTTTTCAGACAGAAATATTCTATGTGCTTTTATAGAGAGAGAGAAATCATTTTCTGTCCAATATGAGTTACTACATGAGCTGTCAATACTGATAGCTCATAGTTTAGTTTACTTTATCTGTGAAGTCAAAATATCTTAGGTTTGATTGTTTTGCTTGTATTATGTGCTGTCAAATTTTCAGTAAAAATTATATAAATATTTTAAAGACAATGCATATTATCTCTTCCCTATTGCATGTACAGGAAGGTGTACAGGAAGAGTCAATGTCTCCAGTCCACCCTCCAAGATTGACTTGTCATTTCCCCCATTAGAAGTCAATAATAATAATAATAACCGCTCCACCCTTTTAAATGGTGGTTGCATTTCGTGTGATAAAGGATTGAATCTGTTGCAGCTTCTTTACTCTGATCTTTTAAAAACTAAGCAAAGCCTAAAAACCTTATTCAGCTTCCAAAAGAGGTGGTGTTACGAGAAACAACAGCACCATCTGTTGGCAGAATAATGCTAAAAAGTTTGGTCCTCTTTTCTCATGGCCCAATATGAGCCACTTCTTCACACAACGCATGCTTTTCATAGATGTAAGCAAAAAGATGTTATATGCACTCATAAAACTGTGGAAGTGGCACTAGTGTGGTTGTTCCAGCAATATGACTCAAAACAGGTAAGTGAACCTAGAAGCTGGGAAACAGCCCTGACAGCAGCTTTAAATTCTTCCTGATTACAGGTTTCGCATAAGTCTTGCCTTATATTTGGAAGGTAACATTTGGTTTAAAACTTTTAAGCTAATAAGCAAATGCAACAACATTATTAAATCATTCAGAAAGAAAGCAGAATCCACAACATTAATACATTTGAAATAAAACTTTATTTCAAGTAAAATATTTAAAAATAATCTGTTTGAACAAAATAAAATTTGTAAGGCATTTACCTCTTGGTGTGATGCTCTAAAATAAATACTCTTTCATTCAAAATATTATGTGAAACTGTTCAACACAACAGGAGTACAGTCTGTTCAGGATCTTTGCATAGAGTTGTGTGATATGCATATATGTACACACAAATACATTTATTGATACAACAAAATAGTGCAATTATCCGGCACTTAGTGGCACTATAAAAGAGCATTCTGTTAGCTTGCAAAGAGCAAAATCATAATGTCCACAGAGCCTGAGCATACCTAACTCTGTTAGATGGTTTCCATTGGAAAATACTATTTGACACTAAAAAAAACCCAAAAAACAGATCTTGATAAGTTCTTCGCACTGTAATTGAAAGAGGATTTATATACAATCCTGCACCCAAATAGTAGTATGTATAGAAAGGTATCTGAAAGAGAGCACAGTGATTTCTGCAGGAAAATTACACATAAATGGGTCCAGGACCATAGCCTACTCACCAAAATTTAGAGAAATGTGTTTGCCAATGTTATGTAAGTAGCTCTGTGCAAGCAACTTCATTTTGTCTAAATGCAATAAAGTACTCCCCACAATTCACAAGGGGAGCTGCAAAAAGCAATCTGACAGAACCAGATTGCTATGGAGGAAAAGAAAAGAAAATCTTCCCATTGCCTTGATCACCCACATTTTGGATTGTGGCTGAACTCTTTAAGGCATTTGGTTTAAGAAAAGTTCTGGCAGTCAGAATAAGGCTAGCTTAAAATGCCAGAAAGTTAGTTGGTTCCCCCCAGCTATTTCTTTCGAAATGCATTTTAATGCTTCTAAAATGATCAGCCCTTTAACATAATAATCCAACATACATATAAAACCAAAGGTGTTTTCTAACCCTATGGATGTATTTGCATTATATAAAAAAGACACAAACAGTACGGTTGATAACTTTGTCCAGATCACTGCAAGAAGAGATTATGATTCACATTGCTTGTGAAACAAAATACTGAGACAAAACTTTTTAAAAATGTAGAACTGAAAAAGCCTGAAAAGCAGGAAGAGTAAAGTATATTACTTGCTTGTGCTGCAGAGATCCTAACTTGTGCAGGCTTCTTTTTTTTGGTGATCTGTTACAGAACCCTTTTACTGCCAATGATCCCAAGGACCACTTTTCTGATACCCTTATGAAAACAGACAAGTCATGTTGTGAATCACTGAAGCTGCACCATTCTCTCTGCTCCATACTTTCAAATGGCAATATTTTTATGACTGCTGGGGGCATAAGATGCTGTGAATGCATCCTAAATTACCCCTCCTCACCATTATTTTGGAATTAATGGAAAAACATGTGATAGAAAATAAGGTGGGAAATGATAACAACCCCATGTATCCTAGCATTTATGAAGATGTTTAAGATTCAACGCACTCCATTTTATGGCACTAATATTGAGAACGCATGAGAATGTTTAACTTGACGTTGGAATGACAAGAATCACAAATTAATTTTATGAATGTCTAAATATAGACATATTCTTTCTGCACTTCTCAGATACACTTCAGTGAAAGTTGTGTATCTGAGTGTTCAGACATACAAAAAAAAATAATTCATCTGCAATTGCCACTTTTCATATATGAATGGTGACATACACCTAATGGCACTGTAAGGTACATAAAAATGTGTAAGGTTATTGGTTTAACTAGTTTTCAGGTTTAAATAGTAGATAAAATATATATGATTCTCCTGACTAAAATTAGTCTGTTTATAAACAGGCATAGGCCAGAGGTTCAAGTAGTTATATCAAATGGGTTTGGAGACATGGTAGCAACCATTTTTCTTGAACATAAAGAGCTTAAAATAACCTTCTTGAATTGAGGTGTTTTTTTTTTGAGTTAGTATTCCTATGGTTACACACACAAACACACACACAAACACACACACACTTAAACAATGGTACTGGGTCCTGCATGTGAAAATCTTCCTAGCAATTTTCTTGAATTCTTTTGTTGAGCCACACAAAGACAAAATGCCTCTGTTGTATAACATTCTATATGCTTTCATATATATAAAAGCATATATATAATTTCATATATATATGAACAACAGAGGCATTTGCCAGAGCATTTTTTCTTTATTTGGCTCAACAAAAGAATTCAAGGAAATCGCTAGAAAGATTTTCACATCTTGTAATTGTTCCATTTCTGTCAAGTGAAAGCCTACAAGTCAAAGAAAGCCTACAAAACAGGCACTCGGTTTTGTCAACCTGGCAAGCTATGTAAACAATCCACATTTATCCTTTGAGAGACAGAGGTGCAAATAAATTTAAAACACTTTGCATCTATGGTCAACTAGCCAACAGTATTGTTGCACAGTGTGCCTGGTTTGTAGAAAACATTACAAGAGCTTTAAACAAGTAAACTTAGCTCTTAGGTGGCTAATTCTCTGTAGTGCATCACAGTTCACTGACAGGTCAGGTCAGACGCTCAGGAGTATAGGGGCAACTGCTGGGCTTGTGGAGATACCAACTGCATGAATAAGTGGGGTCTATGCATGTGGCTGTCATTATTTGCAAAACAACAGTAGTTACATGTATCCGCTATTTCATACAGAAAGGGCTTCTGTGGGGTTCAGCAGTGTCATAAATCTGCTGGTGGGACACAAGCTCCTAAAGCCAATTGCACATAGCTGCTGATGACTGGAAAGAAACAACATAAAATTTAAATATGCCTCTGATCTCTTTGACATAAGATTAAAACAAAGTGCTGTTTTATATTCTGCAACATTCTAGGAGATTGGATCCAGATTTGCCTTTTCTGTTTGCGGAAGAGATTCCAATCCAATGGTACCTCCCACTGGGGTTTATTTCTGGAGGCAATTTTTGACGGTTTCCTCTTTCCTCTGCAACCCCCAACCCCTCTTCCTCCCAGGCTGGTGCAAATTTGGGAGGTTGTCAGAGGAGGTTGAGGAAGGAATTGGGAAATCAGTACATATTTCCTCTTCTCCCCATCTTCTCACCTAGTGGAAGAATACTCTTGATGGAGTTGCATTTCTGGAAAGTCTGGATCCAACCTCATGGTATTTTTCCTGAATGAAACATTGTTTGAGGTGACTGAAATAAACCTGACAGGCTGTGTTTATTTTTTTTATATATTTTTTTTAAAAAAAACCAACTTGAAACAGTTGCTCAAGATGTGCTCCGGTGCTGGCATGATTCATATTTAGCAGAGCCAGCTGCTATGACACTTTCTTAGAAAGCCATCGCTTCAGTCTTAGTTTTTGCGTGAGAGTTTCTATGAAAAATTTAGGGGTTTGCTGTGTTAAAGTTGTACAGAAGTCACTGCTTCTTCTTTCTTCTCTGAAGACTCCAGTTGCTCTGGTGGAGGGTTATATATGAAAACTGCTGTAACAGTAAAAATGATGGAGATGACTTTGGCAATGACGCCTGCGAAAGGGAAAGAAGGAAGAATTGCAGCATTTTAACAATTTCCCTTTTGCTAATTTAGCAATTAGTGATAGCTTTCGGTTTATTGTGTTGTAGATTTATTTCACACCTCTTTGGAGATCTCAGCAACATAACCTATATTGAAGCTTTGATATTCCACACATTGATTGATTTATTGATAAGTTAAAAGGCAGCCAATTAAGATGCCGTCTACAATTGGCATTGGGCCAGCTGAGGGAGCTATAGAAAGAAGAAGAGTTTGGATTTGATATCCCGCTTTATCACTACCCAAAGGAGTCTCAAAGCAGCTAACGTTCTCCTTTCCCTTCATCCCCCACAACAAACACCCTGTGAGGTGAGTGAGGCTGAGAGACTTCAAAGAAGTGTGACTAGCCCAAGGTCACCCAGCTGCATGTGGAGGAGCAGAGACTTGAATCCGGTTCACCAGGAGTCTACCGCTCTTAACCACCACACCACACTGGCTCTCAAGAAAGAGGCAGAAATAGCGCTCTGTGTAGAGGGAGGCCTGCCAGACTGCCATGTGGAAGACTGCAAGGCCAGTGGCACATCATATGCCCGCGCTGCCCAGGGCGGGCACATTCCTGAGGGGCGCAGGGGCGCATTCCCGAGGGGCATAGAGGGTGCCCTCCAAGGCGTAGGATAGCCAGATGCGCACCCACCAATCCCACTTCCTTCCTCTCTCCTTCCTGCTTGCCTGCCTCCTTCCCATCCTCTCCCCTGCCTGCCTGTCTCCTCCAGCCGGGAGCATGGGGCAACTGCACACCACCCACAACAGTGCACCACCTGCCCGTGACTCCTGGCTGGAGGAGAGGGTGGGAAAGAGGCAGGTGAGCTGGAAGGGGAGAGGAAGGAACCAGCAAAGCAGTGCAGCAGGTCCCCCTGCCCCTTCCTCCAATAGCTCACGGTAGGCGTGGGAGTCCGAGTCGCGGGTGGGCGGAGTGCCGAATGTCACCCCTGCTTAGGAATGACACTCGGAGTGGTGTGCCCCCCGCACCCACCTTCCTCCGCCAATGTGCAAGGCTGAGGCTGTGTGACCATACCAACCAGGGAAGCTGATTGATTCCAACAGTGTGCCCACGAAGTGCGAGTCTCACCATTGGGTAGCCCCCCGCCCCCCCCCTTGGTAAGCAGCAGTGACACCTCTGCTGGGAGGCTATTGCTGCAGCTTCACCCGAGGTGGTGAGTCTGTCCTGACAAGGGATAACTTCCAGTTTCCCCTTTCACGTCTGTTGTCAGCCATTTATGGTCTCACCACTGCATTCGTATGAAACTGACATCTGTTCATGTCTGTCACAATAACTTCCAGCAAGCATCAGGGCACGTTAGGTCGCCCCTCGCGGGTGATAAAAATAAGAAACTGCTGATCCTCAGACCATGTACAGTGGTACCTTGGATTACATACGCTTCAGGTTACAGACACTTCAGGTTGCATACACTTCAGGTTACAGACTCCGATTACCCAGAAATAGTACCTCGGGTTAAGAACTTTGCTTCAGGATGAGAACAGAAATCGTGCTCCAGCAGCGTGGTGACAGTGGGAGGCCCCATTAGCTAAAGTGGTGCTTCAGATTAAGAACAGTTTCAGGTTAAGAACAGACCTCTGGAATGAATTAAGTACGTAACCAGAGGTACCACTGTATTCAGTTTGCTTAGCATACCAGACAAATGAGAAATAAAACAGTTAATTCTAACTACAAGGCGCCTCCCCCATCCTATATCTTCACTGGAATTGTTCAGACTCAGACTATTTGAAGCACAAGGCTTTGGAGAGATACTTACTTATGCCCACTAGCATATAGGCCATTCTGTGGTTGTTATAGGTCCAACATGATCCTTTACGTCCACACTTATCTATATCCCATAGCGTACATGTACTGTCTATTGAAACACCAAAGAGGATTGGTCCAGGTATGCTGCCTGTAGAAAATGGAATGGTGAAAAACAACAACTGAAAATGCAAACTCAGATGCCGAAACCATGCTGTAAAATAGAGGTGTTGTACCAATAGTGGACTTCTATAACCAATAAAGAAGGCTCTTCAAGCATTCCAAAATAATATAAATATATTTTTGCCTTTAACAAAATGCATGATTGCAAGACTTAAAGACATAGTTTATATGTCTAAAACTATTACTAATGGCAATAGCAATGTTTTGAATAAACCCTATGCTATCAATTGACTGTCAAAAAAAATTCAGATTTTAAGATTCAGATTATGATCCAGATCCTCCTGTTCTCAGTTACCTCTGCAATGTGCTCTCTCAAACAAGAACATTTCTCCATGCATTCATGCCTCCAGATCATGCCCTCTGAATGTACAGACTAGCCAGTGTCACCATATTGATGTTTTTCCTCAATCTTTAATAAGTTTTCACTTGATAAATCATCAAAATGGAAATGAAACGTAGAGCCTGGCAAAGTTCTTAACACAAAACTAACAGACAAATTTGGAACTGTTGAAGCAAGGGAGGGCAAATCCCCACACACACCAATTTTCAGTGACGGGAGACACTCTGAGGGACCCAATCCACTGGTCAGATTTGGCTGATAAGCAGTAGCGGAGTACAGATGGAAAGCCCTGGAAAAAACCAGAAAAAATGGGGGGGCCACTTTTCCCGCAGGATTGTTGTTGTTGTCGTTGTTGTTTTGCAAAGCTGTTTTCCCCCAGAAAAAAAAGGGTGGGAGTGTGTGGAATATTCAAACTATATCAAACTGTTTTTTCATTTTTTCCAGAAAAAAAAGGCTTTGGAAATAAAACGGAGGAGGGGGAGTATGGGGAAAGCTGGGGGGGGGGGAGAGAATGGAAAAAACCTGGGTTTTCCCCCAAGTTTTCCAGGTTTTTTCCAGGCCTTCGCATCTCTATATGGGAGATAAGGATCTGTCCCACTAGTCTGTTCCATGTCTCCAACCCTGCTCCAGAGCTACAACAGAGTAACAAAGTGTGCTTCAGAGCAAAACCCCATGAGTTATTATAAGAAATCAGGGAAATATGGCAAGATTGTACTGCTTGGAGCACTATATGTGGCAGTTTATATAGACGAGTTATGGGATGTAGAAGAATATTGCTTATTTAGAAATCAACAATATTCCAGAAGCCTATTCATTTACAAGTTATTTATTACTAAGTTTTGCTCAAAAGAAACCATGGCTAGCAACATAGAATTTAATGAAATCTAAAAATATTCAATGAAATGAGCCTTTCATGTGTATTTTAAATAAAAAATAAACACAAATCAGCAGCAATAAATTATCAGTAGTATCTCCTCCAGAGTCAATATCAACTTAAGAAAGATATGTTTTAAACTTCAGCCTGAATAGAGCTAATGATAGTGTACATCAGCCATGATTGAGTCACCCGTTACCTACATTTGTACAGGTAACATCCTGATCCTTCCTTTTCCATAGATACCATATTTTTTGCTCTATAAGACTCACTTTTTCCCTCCTAAAAGGTAAGGGGAAATGTGTGTGCGTCTTATGGAGCGAATGCAGGCTGCGCAGCTATCCCAGAAACCCGAACAGCAAGAGGGATTGCTGCTTTCACTGCACAGCGATCCCTCTTGCTGTTCTGGCTTCTGAGATTCAGAATATTTTTTTCTTGTTTTCCTCCTCCAAAAACTAGGTGCATCTTGTGGTCTGGTGCATCTTATAGAGCGAAAAATACGGTAACTATGGAGCCTCAGGGCACTTGTGATTCTTAGAACTGTGACCATTGTTCCTAGTTCCTACTTAAGTATAGAGGTTTTAGAAAACATACCCAAAATTCGTAGAAAGAGCATGTGAACCCCCATAGCAAATGATCGGTGCCTTTCTGGTACACACCTGTAAACCAAAGTTTGATTTATTGTTTAATAGAGATTTATACCATCCTTCAGCAGAAAGTATGAGGGTGGTTAACAGTATAAAGCATGCATAGCTATCTTAAAAAATACAAATGTTAAAACAGCAGTGAGGGAGAACACCAAAAGTGGTATGAAAACCTCATCCAATTTTAAAATACATTAAGATTTGAAGTTTAAGGAAATGGCAGCAATGTAACTTTCAAATCTACTGCTTCTTCTGTTCATCTATATTTTCAAATCATGCTTCCTGTTGGCTATTTGCAGTATGGTAGCGCTGCAGAGAGCTTGCTGGGGAGACCATGCATTAAAAAGGGACTCAAAAATAACTTAAACAAGGTTTTAATTACAAAAACAAAAACTCCTTCTACACTAAATACATTAACAAACCAACATGACCCAACCACCAACCCATCCCCCAGGGTAATGGGAGAGCTAGGTGCTGCTCCTTATATACTACACCCAATTACCAACACAGCTTAATCAATACAACTCAGCAGCACCTGCTATGTTTCACAGCTGTAAAGCTGGGTCTCGTTATCTTGCTCTGGCCCTTGCTCTGGCCCCTTAAAGACATACACATCGGGTAGAACAGTGATGAACCTTTACATTTAAAGAAACCATTCAACATTTCCATGTGTTACTTCTCATTTAGAAGTATGAAAACAGTTTTTGTTTTCATTCTGTAATTTTGTAGATACAATGCCTACTTAAGAAAAATGCAGTCTTTACGAATAAACAAGAGACACAATAAAAAACATGAAAAACAAGAAAATCAAATTCAACAATATATCTGTAAATTGTTCCATGCTGGCATCTAGTTTTTAAGGAAAGGAAAGGCAAAATTATTATGTGATTCTACAACATCAAAGAACAGTTTTTGCATCGTATGAGAGTTCCAAAACACACATACAGCAAGGGATACTGTTATCCACAAAGAAGATGTTGTTATGCAATACATTGCCTACAAAATATCTTAACTGTTTTAGCTATCCAGGCTGCTGGTGTGAATTCTGGAATAGGCAAAAAAATAGACACCATAAGGTCCAACCAATACTGATTAGTGTCCGGCCTGATATCAGCACCCAGAATCATTGGACAGCTGCCAGGGCTCTGGAAAACCCACAGTGCCTACCACTGGTGCCTAACTTGGGTTCCTGTTAAATAAATGTCCTTTTCCCAGTGCTGGGCTATAGTGCAGGGAATTAAAATGTTAGCTTCCAGGAGAGACCAAATGTCTTCAAACTTGAGTCCTGTTGCTGCCCACGGATGAATAAATGAATAAACTGTGGGGGAGTCCTAGTTTAGGCAAGGATCCACCTATTTGCCAAGGGCCCCTCAAACCTGGAAAAAAGCCCTGCTTAAGTATACATTTTACATTTAGGTTACTATAGATTATTATTATTATTATTATTATTATTATTATTAGGAATAGTCAGCCTCTCCATCCCTCTATACATTCAAGCACAGATGGACAAATCAGTCAACTTTCTGTTATCTCAGATTCTAATTTTTCCTATCTTAAATTTAACAGCAATTTGCACTGGAAAACCCTTACAAAAATGTGTCAGCCTTTTAGTGCAAGTTTCTTTTAATATGTAATATACAGTTTTGAAAATATATGCATGTTTGCAAGCAATTTTCCTGAGTAAATGCATTTCACATGCTATGTCCACTAATATATGCATTTATATACGCCCTTCACCCTAATACAGCCGTACCTTGGTTCTCGGATATAATCTGTCCTGGGAGTCCATTCAACTTCTGAAAAAGTTCGAAAATCAAGGCACGACTTCCGATTGGTGGCAGGAGCTTCATCAATCGGAAGCCACAGCCACTCACTTCTGGGTTTGTGGCATTCGGGAGCCAAAACTTACCAAGGCATTCACAAACCAAGGTACGACTGTATGTGTATTTTTGGCTAGCTTGACTAGAGAACTGCATTGCAAAGTTTAGAAAATTGTGTATTTCAGGGGATGGCTGTATTTCAGTTCACACCTTGTTTCAGAAAGTATGGGTTTGGTAAGTTTGATTTTAAATGCAAACTGAATCAGATTTCTCCCCTATAAGATTCCCCCCACCCATATTCAGCTTGCTTGTGTTATTTAACTTACAGGCAACTTTCAACTTAAATAGGGGTTATGTCCCAGAGATAACGCCTAAAGCCAAAATCAAATATAATCAGAACCCATTAGGTTTAATGGCAGGTAGAATGGCAAAAGTCTTTTTTTTCCAGACACCCACTCCATTTCCACCCCATTTACCATATATATATATATATATATATATATATATATATATAAAAGGTAAAGGACCCCATGGCGACTATGGGGTTGTGGTGCTCATCTCACTTTCAGGCCGACAGTGACGGAAAACAGAGCACACAGAAACACTGTTTACCTTCCCGCCACAGTGGTACCTATTTATCTACTTGCACTTGGCACGCTTTCGAATGGCTAAGTTGGCAGGAGCTGGCAAAGAGCAACGGGAGCTCACTCCATTGTGGGGATTCGAACCGCCAACCTTCTGATCAGCAAGCCCAAGAGGCTTAGACCACAGCGCCACCCGTGTCCCTTTTACCATATATATATATGGTATATATATATATATATATATATATATATATATATATATATATATGGTATATATATGGAATATATATTCATAAATCTAAATCCACATAAGTTGCGTGTTACCTGTACTTCATCATCTATAGACATCAACCATACTGCTAGTTATATTCATAAACAATTTTACAGATGACCACTCCACTAAAACACACATTAGTCACGTAATGTATGACACTTCCTCCCTCTTAACATCATTTAAAAGGAAGTTAAATAAAGTTACAACATAGTCAATATCCTTCACCTCTACCCGGAATATCTCTGGATTGTATCCAAAGTTAGTCATGCTCAGAGTAGACTTATTAGCACTGAGTAGCACTTTGTGCAAATGGAAGTAATTCCACTTACACAACAGGATAACCCCCCCCACACACACACAATGTCCTGGGGGGTTTCCCCAATGTTTCAGAATGGGTTTGTGGAGAATAGGAAGCACACATGAGGAGGAGAGCAGGGAAAGTCCCATTGGACAAGCAGAAATCATTCTGTTCACACATTTATTCAGCTAAACACTGCCCATTGAAATGAATGGGCATGTCTAACTTAGCTGTGTTGATTCCAATGTGTCTACTCTGAGTATAACTTAGTTGGATGTAACCCTCTGTTCCTTTCTGAATTGTGCTAGAGAAGGAAGACAGAGAGGGGTAAAAAGAATGAGTGGTATTTATTTATTTATTTATTTATTTATTTATTTATTTATTTAAAAAAATTAGAGAGGAAATTTATAGCATTTTGCAGTGATCAGTAAGTAGGATAGAAACAAAATTTACCTTAGAATGGCCACTGTTGTTGGTGTCACTGCCATGAACGTAAAAACAATAGTGAAGAAGAAGAAGCCAAGGAACAGAGGCAGGGATGAACAGTTTGATGCACATTTCCCAGGGGTAGCCCCATAGATGATATTCTCAGTGGAAGATTTGGGATTCACAACACAGTCACAGTTGGTGAAGACCTATAAACAGTACATATATACAAATATGAGCACACCAAATGAAGTAATCACTATTTCCAATATTAGCAATATTGAATAACAAAGTGCTTAACCAATTACAGCAGAAACAGAGAAGATGTTTCTATGGAACTGCCTTCATTTCAACAGGAAAGGGAGGACCATGAAGTCGACCCACACCTTCTACAATGCACCTGGAGCACTACCCTGGACATAGGGCTGGTGGAGGAGGAAATCAGGCTTAGAACCTAAGAATGTCCGTGTAAGGAAGCTCACAGGAAGGAAAGTTCCCTGGTCCCCAGCATCCCCCCATGCCCAACCCAACATTGTTCAAGATGGCTTCTCACTCTTTAGGGAGTGGGGACATAGGTAGGGGATATGAGGAGGATGGCAAACTTTCCTTCTAGGAACTTCCTTAAGTTAATTTGCCTTATGATACAAGTAATACAGTGGTACCTCGGGTTACGAACAGTCCTGCTTACGAACGCTTTGGGTTACGAACTCCACAAACCCAGAAGTAGGTCTCCCGGGTTGCGAACTTTACCCCAGGATACAAACGCAATCTGCTTCCTGAGCCGTGGGAGGCCTATGTAGGGAATGCACGCCTCGGGTTAAGAACGCTTTCGGTTAAGAACGGACTTCCAGAACGAATTAAGTTCATAACCCGAGGTACCACTGTAATGAGAACTATCTTGCTGTGTGGAGGAGCAGATCCCTTCTTTAGTTGAAAACTATCACCATAGTGACAAACATGAGGCATAGAGAAGCATGCATGAGTGGACTAGCCCCACATCCCATCCTGCCATGCCATCATATGAAAATATTTTATGTAGTGATGAGCATGGAAGAATCAAGATCTATCTGAACTGAAGAGTTCAGATTACCAGACCAACCCCCAAAACATGCCTTAATAAATTTGTGTTGAGAAAATAACTTCTCTTGTATGCTATTCATACAAGTGTTGTACAAATGCTAATAATAATAATTAAGTAAATTAATGAATTAATATATGTTTGAAAAGGACACGTTTGCTAAATACAGCGGTACCTCAGGTTACAAAAACCTCAGGTTACAAACACTTCGGGTTACAGACTCTGCTAACCCAGAAGTAGTACCTCGGGTTAAGAACTTTACCTCAGGATGAGAAGAGAAATCGCACAGCAGCAGGAGCCTATTAGCTAAAGTGGTACCTCAAGTTAAGAATGGTTTCAGGTTAAGAACAGACCTCCGGAATGAATTAAGTTCATAACCAGAGGTACCACTGTAAACACTTTTAGCACCCAGAACTCAGAGGCAGACCAGTGGGCCAAATCTGGCCTGAGAAGCTGTTTTCTACAAACCACACTCACCTGCACCACACAAATGTCATATGTGGCTTGAGGTGCGGGGTAGGCAAAGGCATGGCTGCAGTGGAACAACTGGAAGCTTAAAGTATGCTCCTGATGGTACCTTGGAAAGCAGGGCTTGCTTAGCAGCACTAGTCAGCGGACTGGTGTTGACAGTGCACATTCAAAGTGGCTCAGTGCAGCATCCAATCAGCTGATCTGCAGTGACAGTGAGCCCCAAGCTGTTCACTTGCAAGTGTGGTTTGATTGCAGACTATGTCTCCAAATAGACTTTAACCAGTGTTATCAGCTGATCAGCAGCTACAACGAGTCCCTTTGAATATGTGTCTTCATTGCCAATCAGCTGACAGTGCACCTTCAAAGGGGCTCATTGCTTGGCAGGGGGTTGGACTCGATGGCCCTTGTGGTCTCTTCCAACTCTATGATTCTATGATTCATTCTTAGTTCCCTATCAGAGCAAGCCCCTTTGAAGCTGTCGGGTGTTATCAGGTGACTGGCAGATTTGTCAGGTGATTGGCAGGTGGCATCAGGTGATTGACAGGTCTGTCCTGCAGGGGATAGGGAAAATTAGGATCCTGCCTGCCAGCCAAATTCATTTTGCCACCCTTTAGACCTAAGGTAAATTCTGCATTGTCAACCCATGATATAAAATGGCAATACCTTTGAACCGTCTTGAATAGTAACAGCAGAGGTACATCCTGCATAACATGCAGAAAAATACTGGACTCCATTTGTGCCACAGACTGGTAAATAGTTTGAACGCAAGCATCTACAGTGGGAGTTGCAAGGCGCAGTTAAGTTTGATAATGTGCCTGTCCTGAAACAGAGAGATAAAAGTCAAATGAGCTAAGCATATGCAGCTTTTGGTATCTCCTAAGAACATATTCTGAACAATTAAAGAGTAAGAACATAAGATCTCTACAGGATCAGACCAAAATCTAAACTAGTCTTGCCTTGTGTTTCCCACTGTGGCCAGCCAAGTGCTGTCAGGAATCCTGCACGCAGACATGATATTTATCAAAATATTTATATGCCTGGTTTCAAACAAATATCATAGCGGTTTCCGAAAGTTAAACCCAAAATCATACGACAAAAACCATGCAAACAGTTTTAAAATCTGAAATAAAGGAAAGGTGTAAGTTCTTTTAAAATTAGATATACCAGAGAATGAACCTGGATGTTCTCCAAACAAGATGGTGGACCTTTCACTCCAAACCCTCTGAGGACTTAAAGAGGATAGAGGACAAGGTGGGACCTTGTGGGATTACACAGCACATAGTATGGAGAAGAAGTCCCCCCAAGATACTTATTTATTTACAATTTTATCTAGGAAATTTTTGCTTGCTCAAAAAAAGAGAAAAAAATCTCCAAATGGTGCACAGATCAAATTATATATAAAACATGGCTAAAAGACACAAACCGGTTAAAAATAAATATACATAAAACCATCATTAAGAACAAAGAGAAAATAATTAATATAATTAAAACAAATGTTAACTAAATCATGTGCCTGGGGAGAGAGGTTTTCAGTAGGTGTCTAAACAGTGCAGTGAACCAAAGCTCCAGGCAGGAGGGTTCCCAGCGCACAGCACTGGTCCAGTAAGATACCATGGCTGACAGTTTCAAAAGCCACCGAGAAGGGAAATCAGTAGGGTCACCTTCCTTCCGCCTCTCTTCTAACAAAGTCATCCATCAGAACCAAGGCTGTTTCAACGCTAGACCATGGTGTTGACTGAAATGGGTCCAGAAAGTCCATTTCATCCGATCACACTTGGGGTAAGACTACCACCACTTTCTAGTATTCCTTGTCCCAAAAGGAGATATTTGTCAATAGTTAATAGTTATCACAATCTTCAGTCTAGAAGCCAGAATCATATCAAAATCCATTGCTCCAATCTAGAGAACATGAACAGAAAGCTGCCTTTGTGTTGTTATATTGGATAAGCCCCCGCTATGTACTGACTAATAGATGATAAGCTCCGTCAAATGTGACAGGACTAATGAACTGCTCATGAATCCCACTGTGTGTTGTGACAGCCCCGATTAGCTATCAAGGGATACATGCATAATTAGGCTCAGAACACCTAACCCTCAAGAACTAGCTGCATTGGATTTTTGTTCTCATAGCAGTATTCTTCTTCTTCTTTGGCAATCACTCATAGCCGAGTAAGATTGTCTTCCATAAACATGGTTTTAACAATGAGTCCGTAAGTGACTGTGAAGGCCAATTCTGGATCCCACACATTCTTCCACAGTGGGGACATAGGTTTCCGGGAGGGAATTGATCACAGTGTGGATTTGCCAAGCATGCCTTCCTCTTAGCACATTTCCCCCTTGCGTCCTGAGTTGAAGTGTCTTCAAAGCCCATGACACCTTTGGTAAAGGCTGTTCTTCAACTGGAGCGCTTGCAGGCAAGTTTTTCCCAATTGTTGGTGTTCATACTACATTTTTTTAGATTTGCCTTGAGACAGTCTTTAAACCTCTTTTGTTGACCACCAGCATTACGCTTTCCATTTTTAAGTTCGGAATAGAGTAGTTGCTTTGGAAGATGATAATCAGGCACCCACACAACATGACCAGTCCAACGAAGTTGATGTTGACAAATCATTGCTTCAACACTGGTGATCTTTGCTTCTTCCAGTACACTGGTATTAGTCCACCTGGCTTCCCAAGTGATGTGTAAAATTTTTCAGAGACACCATTGATCGAATCTCTCAAGGAGCTGGAGAAGGCGTTTATAAATGGTCCATGTTTCACAAGCATACAGTAAGGTTGGTAGTACAATAGCTTTGTAAACAAGCATTTTGGTTTCCCTTCGAATGTCCTGGTCCTCAAACACTCTGCACTTCAATCGGAAGAAAGCCGCACTCGCAGAGCTCAGGCAATGCTGGATTTTGGCATAAATGTTGGCCCTTGTGTAAAGATAACAGCCCAATTAAAAGTGATGGACATTTTCTAACATTACACCATTGAGTTGGATTTGTGGCACTGCAGAGGGGTTATTTTGTACTTGCTGGTGCAGCACTTTGGATGTTTGGATGTTGAGCGATAGGCCAAACTTTTTGTAAGCTTCTGCAAATATATTTAAGATGGTTTGGAGGTCATCCTCTGAGCATTGTCATCAGTAGTATACACACAGTATACACTGAAATACACATAGTCAGGCCCATCTCATTGTTGTTCTTTTGAACAAATACTTACCCATTATAATCTTCTGAGACACCCGCAAATGGTGTATTCCCACATATAGCAATTAAAAAGACCATATTGAATCCAAGCGCCACTGAACAAGTAAGGACAATGAACTTGAGTATGCTTTTGCAATTTAGTTTGAGCTTGGAAACTAAGATACCACTTATGATTTGACCTATTGCTGCTCCTGGGACCAACACAAGTCCTGCGGGAAAACAAGGTGACAACAGATATTGAATTAACATTTATTGTTAATAATAGCAGTCATCAATAGTTCCAGAAAATATAAAACAGTGAACATATAGAAATGGTACATGCACATAAAACTTTCACAGATAGAAGCAAAAGTGGGTTATAATGCTAATCCTACCCCAACATGGTGCACAGATACCAACATCAAGGAGGCAGGACTCATGAAGTGCATCATGTTGAGGCAAGGCTAGGCCTCATTTCCCTTTCTACCCATGAAAGACCTACATGACTATAACACACAAAAAGGGCTTAAGAATATATATATTGAATGTTAAATAATATCTAAACAACAGTTAAATCAGTTTATTTATTGTTATAATATTTATATCCCACCATTTCCTTCAAGAAACTCAAGGTAGTGTGCACGATCTTCCCCCTTCCCCGTATTGTCACAGCAACCCTGTGAGGTAGATTCAACTGAGAGGCAGAAGGTCACCAAATGAGTTTCACAGTTGAGTGGGGATTTGAGCTTGTGTCTCTCCTAGGTCCTAGTTCAGCACTCTAACCACTGCACCACCCTAGCTTGCAACTCCAAAATCCATCTTACCACATGCTTCAAATCATTTTGATTTTGTACCCATGTGGCTTGCCAGTCAACTTTTGCTGCACATCACAGGGCCATTGAACCTAACTGCACTGTTATGCATGAATCTAATGCCACACAGAGAGAGCCAAACGTTATATATCTTTGATCTCAACTGCACCTTCTCTTCTGGCTAGCATGCTCTCTCAGTGCCAAACTACATGTTACACTAAGTAGGCTCCCTTTTTTAAAAACATGCCAACTCAAGCTGTGTCTCCAGTAAAGCCTCTTTATGGTACAGCCTCATTCTAAGAGCCACACAAACATATTCTGGAAATGTCTCTTCACATTTGGGGCAGGGGACAGAATTGTGGTCACACACATGGAAAGTAGGAAAAAGATGACTTCTTAAAAGCTACTGCTACCACCAATTTGTTACCACCCTAAAATGTTCAGAAAAGCTTTCCCACACCAACACAAAAAGATGGTATGTCCCCTTTTCCAATTCACTGTTTCTGTGTGGGGAAGCAAATCTGAGGAGGACATTTTTCCTCAGTTTAGAAATATCTGAAATAACCACGTAGTCGAGACCAGTGTCTGACATACCCAGGGCTAATGCAGAAGCAACTAAATAAAGATCTAGCCAACAGGAGTTTCATACTGCTTAAGAATATAAGAACATTCTTCCCTGATCAGGCCAAAGGCTGTCAAAGTCTAGCATCTTGTTTTCCAGGTGGCCATGCCCAGGGGATCCTGTAAGCATTCTTCCCAATAGTGATTCCCAGCAATCAACATTCAGAAATACTGTCTCTGACATAGAGATATAAACAGTCATTGGGGCTAGTTTCCCTGATTCCTCTCAAAGGGATCAGTGTGCAGGCCAAGAGACATTAGCTCAGTTCCTAGCTGATTCTTACATCCCCCTCCAACATTTCTCCAATGAAAATAGGGACTTCCTATGCAGGAAAAGCAGGGCCTTTGGGGGTCAAATCAGAAACTGGGATGGCTTCTGTAATTCCGGGACTGTTCCTAGAAAATAGGGACACTTTGAGGGTCTGTTCTTAGCCATGCACTAGGAAAACATATTTGCACAGAAATAAGCCTCACAGGGTTCAGTGGACCATATTCCCCAGTAAACCTGTTTAGTACTGCAGACTTTGTATTACTAATCCAGTTTTACTCTGCTCTTGTTATTAAACTCAAGCAGTAAACAGGTTAAGAGCATATTCTGTAAAACAGATAAGAAAAATACATTACCCCCTAAGGTGGCTGAATAGCTAGATGTATATCCAAACTGGTTTTCTATAAATTTGGGCAAGAAAGTTGCAAAGCCAGTGGCAACACAGGCTTCCATTGAGGCGGCGAATACAAGACACATCAGCACTGGGTTCCTCAGAAGCAACTAGGAAAAAAAGGAGAGGAATTATTTTGTGACTTCTGACATTTGCTTATATTTTCGCAGTTAACAAGTTTGATAATGCAAATATTGGAACTGATATGGATTTTTGTCACAAAACTATTATTAGGAATGGATGGGTAAGTCTAATTCTGGTTTGCAGCACTTTTGTAATGTGTTCATTTTTTAAGTCAGTTCTGCCTCCTTCTTACATTATTTGGGGAGGGATTAAAAATAATGTCACTTTGAGATGGTCTAAGCCTGGGGTGCCACTGGCCTAAACGCAGGCTTCCCTTCTGTTGCAAACGGCAGTTTCCAAGCAGGGATTTCTGTTCAGGCCATGGCAGGGAGAGAATGGTTAAACTCTCAGCTTGCAATCCCCCTGAAGCTACTATTTACATTTTTCAAACTGTGCATGTCAATTGCATTCATGTCATGTGTAACCTGGGCTTAGGGGAAGAGGTGGACACAAAACAATTCTGAGAGATAATAATCAGTGACTGTGCATTGATAAGCAGATTTACATGTGGGTGTTGTTGCTTTAAAAAAACTGTATGTGTTGATAAACTGTATTATTCCTAATTAAAGCATTTGTCCTTTGCTTTGGGGTTATAATTCTGTTTTTTACTTTGTCCCATTTACCAAAAGTTCTGAATTAAATAACGTGATCAGGCAGCCAATCTTACCTAGCACCCAACCAGAAATGAAACATGAGAACAGGGTCATGTTGTCTATGGAAGTGTTATTAGCACTCCAAGCACACAGATAGGCAATGACATGAATCTGAGGAAACTGTTCTAGATTCCTTGCTTATAATTACCCAGAGTGTCAGCAGAAAGTCTCTGAGACTCCTCCCACCATATTCAGACTGAACGTCAGCTCCACCATGATGTGCTTCAGAAATCTTTTCAGCTCGTATTTTGTGCGTACCTGAGGCGGTGGGAGAGAAAGCTCATCAAGTGTATATATATATATATATATATATATATATATATATACAGAAAGGCATGATTAACAGCTGTACCTGGCACTAGAGAACAGAAATCACAAGGAAATAAGCTGCTGTTTTTAATGTTTGACAAATTAACTTCACAAAGCTCCATATCTGGGACCATTTGGAGTCAGCCAGTTTGCTTGGATGGGCGCATGTGTGTATGTGATTCCTTTGTGAACTGGAGTCTGTTTCCCTCCTCCCCCACACTGTTGAACATGTGCTGTTAAGTATAAACAGTTATAAGGAGTCCGACACGCTTATCCATCTCTGGTGTGAAAAACTCAGCACATTTAATTTCTTTTTCAACATCTCTAATTGACTCACACAAGCCTTCCTTCCTGACAAGTGTGGCTGATAGGGATTGGCTCATATTCGGTCTGGTTTGTCTATTTAAAAAGCACAGCCAGGACATTTAAAAGACAGCTCTGCTTTTTAAAAGAAGAAAAGAAGAAAATCTCTTGCGGGCCAAGTCACAAAGCCATCCCCACCCCCTCGCCTGTCAGCAACAAGATAACCTGTGGCAGAACAGGCTCAGGCAGACAACTAATTGGGTTGAAAATGGCCACAACTTTATTGATTACAGGTGTAGGTGGATCATTGGCTCAGGCATTGGCTGTATATCCATTTCAGCCTCCTGCGGGTCATTCCAAGGTTATGGCCTCCCCAAGATGCCAATCTACGGAGGTAGCTGTCCTAAGGCCGCTGCTGGAAGCTCTATGGCCCATATGCCCCACGCATGGCTTATGGACAGAGACTTCCACCAAGCCCTTCTACCCTGAATTTGCTGCTGCATCAGAACTGGGTGATGTATCACTTCACCCAATTTGAGGATTAGGATTCCACCCATGCTTGAAAAAAGAAAAAAGAAAAAAGACAATCTCTTTATGCATCAGAGGGAACTTCCCCAGTGGCCTAGCCAGGAAACTGGGCAAAGGATTACAACCTTGGATCAAAACAGGAAAAGCCAGTTCCATGCTGCATTGGGGGACCACCGCCTCATTCTGCTAAGTGGGGCCCTGGACTTCTGCCCCAAAGTCCCACCCTATCAGCACAACTGCAGGGATTCATGAGGGGACTTGGTATTTTTTTCTGAGAGACATAAGCTTGTGGCCATTTTCTGAGATAAGTTAGAGTAAGATGACAGTTTTCCTGCAAACAAGGTCTTGGGGTCCACCTGGCCAAGATAATTATAGCCCAGGTGTTTGAGAAAAGTTTCTTCCTTTATACCTTTTTATCTTTCTAAAGGTAAAATCTGATCCCTAAAACAGATTCAGTTTTATAGCTCATCTGCACCTGGCCTCCATACCTTCTTAGCCAATGTGCAAGGAAGAGCTATGTTTCTCTCATAATTATGGGTTTTTAAAATTATTTTATAAGACATCCAAGTGATTTCTAAATATTGGGCATTCTAGCTACCAGTAACTAAAAATGCTAGATTGTGGCAGTTCTTGTTTGTTTTACACATGCATACAAATATATGAATGAATCCAAATCCCCAACGGATGATTAAAGTAGAGCAGTGCAGGTAAACGACATAGAAGTCTCAGATTTATATCTGCCTCTATCAAATAATGAAAAATGGTGGCTTCATGATTCTGCTGGGATCCCTGCTTTCATATGTGTGTGCGTGTGCATGCTGCTTTCAATACTTCAGTAATATTACTTGTCGGATAAGCCTAGGGGAAAGCAACATAGCATGAGCTAGCACAATGGATGAATGTTAGAATGATGTCAGAATGAAGTTAAGCGGTTTTAGCAGCAATGTCATAAAGGTGTATGTAAAAATGGATTATTAATAGGTGAGAATCTAAAGCTATAATATATTAAGTTAAAGGACTAAGACAAAAACAAAGAGGGAAAGGAATTGCTGAATTAACCAATTGAACTGGAATACAAAAAAGGGAGGTGAGAGGAGGTCAGGGAAGCAAGGAAATGAAATGTAAGATACGGAAGGATTAATTTGTTTTTAAGTGTTTTTTTACTTTTTCCCTGTACTTTGTATTTTGTATGTTTTTTCTCTTTTTTATTTTTTTTCTTGTTTCTTTTCTCTTTAACTATGTAATTTTTTGTTTCTGAAATTTTTATAAATATCATTTAAAAAAAAAAAGAGCTAGCACAATGGGACTTCTTGGTCCTCCTCTCCACCTTCAGCCCACAAAGGACTGCCACATCTACTCTGGAGGGTAAGGGAATATTCTGGAGCAGATTTGAGGGGGCAAGGCATTGGAAGGCAGAAGGAAAAACCCGTTGCACTAGTGCAATTTCTCATGTGCAAGTGGGCAGACATAACTGTGATCTCTCCGTTGATGGCTACGAGGGCTAAAACAACTAACGCAATGATTCTCAAGCACCTCACAAAATCTAGGTCACCATAAAACAGGAGCACTGGAGCCATGTTTAGGCCAAGGCAGGGTATATATTTCAAGCCCCTTTCATACTAGAACCTTAGAGCTTCCAACTAGATATTTGAGGCCCTAACCACTCAGGATGGCACTTCTCTCCTGCTTCAGAAAATGTGTTTACCTGGCAATTGCTTTGGGAAATATGAAAACGGTGCTACCAAAAGGCACGTAGAGAAACTGCATGCAACAAACGCTACCCACCAAGCTCCAACCCAACGTGGATCTTCTGGAGTGATGTCATGTCTAGAAAGATAGTAATTTAGCAAACACAGTTTTAATACAGACATGATTAGCTGAGTCACTTTCCAGTACATTCTGCCAGGCTATTCTGCAAGATAAATTATACACCTCCGGCTCATTCATCACATACTGAGCCCTTTATGATCCAACGTAATAACAATTATATAAACAAGGGTACTGCTGCCTCACCAGCTGGGGAAATTACTATCTTTTACAGTTCTGGTTCACTAACTAAGTTTTATTTTTCTACTTCATTGATCAAAAGCAAATAAACAGTAAGTTAACTAAGAAAATGCCTCTTAACTCTGTGGTTGTTCTGACATCCTAACGCCAGTCCCCCAAGTCCAGTTCAACATCCAGTGGGTATATTTTTTATCTGTTTGGCATAAAGCTAAAATGCAAAGTTTAGTAACTGTTGTTGGGGGGGGGGTAATGGAATTCTAGGGTAACACTATGGAAGTAAAAGGAAAAAAGAAGGGGAAAAAACCTCCTTGCCTTGGGTGACGATGGAAATCAACATAAATGTTAAGCAGCTGTCCTCCTAATACATAACCGATAGCTGGACCCATCAATGACATGCCATAACCAATTCCTGCAGAGTAGAAATATAAGATAATAGTATGCATTTAGCCTAGATGCCAAAACAGGTTGATCACTTCTAGATTCGACAGAAGCCCACTGAAAGCACGCAGAGTAAATATGCAGGAGACTGGAGCTGATCCCAGGGGCGAGCCCCACATATATTCAACTTATTTATTTTTATCCATTATGACATTTACACGCCATCTTTCCTCCAAGGAGCTGAAGGTGGTATACCTGGTTCTCCCTTCCCCCCCCCATTTTATCCTCGCAAAAGGGCATCTAAATAATAATAATAATAATAATAATAATAATAATTTATACCCCGCCCTCCCCAGCCAAGGCCAGGCTCAGGGCGGCTAACAAGCAATAATAAAAACAAGTTGAATGAATACAACTTAAAAACAAGATTAAAATACAACATTAAAATATTGAAACACCCGAGGTATTCTTATTGAACCAGATGTGGTGGGCCCCTATTTTTGCATCTCTCTTTACCACTATTAATGCCACTCTTAAGATCCCGCCAAATTGGAAACAGAGCATAGTCATCCCAATACATAAAAAGGGGGACCCACAAGATCCGCGTAACTATCGACCCATCAGCCTGCTAGACATATCATACAAGGTTTACTCTAGATTCTTGCTAGAGAAATTAATCGAGTGGGCAGAAGAAACAAAGCTATTCCACTCGGAACAGGCTGGCTTCCGTAAAGGTCACAGTACATCTGGCCAATGTCTTGTTCTATTTACCCTGATTGATAAATACCTAAACAGGTTTAACTGCAAACTACACGCGGCTTTTGTGGACCTGACCGCCGCTTTTGACTCCATTCCCAGAGATAGGCTATGGCAGAAGCTTAGTTACACCAACATAGATAAGAGACTCCTCCTTCTTCTTATGGAAATTCATAATGACATATCGGCCAGAGTAAAATTCGGCCCCCTGGGAGCTCTTTCTGATCCTTTCCCTCTGAATAAAGGGGTCAAACAGGGCTGCCTCTTGGCCCCTTTTCTATTCAATTTCTATATCAACGACATCGTTACAACTATGCAGGCCCTAAATCAATCTGCCCCCTCTCTACAACAGCTCAAGATCCCCATATTACTCTATGCGGACGACATGGTGATACTGTCTTTAACCAAGCAGGGCTTAAACAACATGCTCAGAGGGCTCATGACATATTGTGATACCAATTCCCTCAAAATCAATTTCGCCAAAACCAAAATTCTTACTTTTGGCACGAAAACTCGGAAGTCATTCTGGAACTTTGAGGGCCACTCTATTGAATATTGCTCAGCTTTCAAGTATTTGGGAATCACTTTTCAGCATGGGCTTAGCTGGTCAGCTCACCTAAATACGACCATCCTGGCTGCCCGTAGAACCATCAAAGCCTTGGAGAAATTCTTCTATGCAAAAGGCGGCCAGTTGGTTCCACCAATCAGAAAAGCATTTATTAGCAAAGTCCTCCCGATGTTACTGTATGGGGTTGAAATCTGGGGGTGGAATTTAAAAACACTACAACGGCTGGAGATTCTACAAAACTCTTTTGCACGAAAGATACTGGGTCTCCCCAAGGGCTCGGTTGCTGCTCAGTTAAGAACAGAACTGGGCCTCCCCTCCATTGTTGCGAGAGCCCACATTAGAATTATTAGTTTTTATTGCAAATTAATTAATGCCCCAGGTTCCCTACTAGCCAGGCAAGCCTTTTCAACTTGTTCTCACTCCAACAAATGGTCCAAGGCCATGGAGACTATTACTGTACGCTACTCCCTCCCAGAATTCGACACGTTGTCATCTTGGGACCAACATAAAATCCGGGACTGGATTCTTATAAGAGATGAGGCCATGGACCGGGCACAGTCCACCTCAGCTCGCCTCTCCATGTGGCTCCCTAAAGTGAAAGTGGTAAGATCACTTGCCAACTACTTGATAGACCTGACGGAGCCCAATCTGAGAAGAGCGTTTACAATGGCCCGTTTTCATTCTATACCCACGGCCTTCTTGCAGGGGACCTACTCTAAGACCCCTATTACTCAGCGTCTATGTCCATGCACAATGAATGAAGTAGAGGACTTCATACATTTCTTTTTCTACTGCCCTATTTATGACCCAATAAGACCTAAGCTCCTCCTCTTGATCCCGTCCTCCATTTCATCTAAGGAAGACTGTCTGAAAGCACTTCTTGTGGACGCAAATCCCCAAATTTCACGTGGGGTGGCAATCTTCACAGTGCAGGCTCTGAAACTCAGGGCTACTCTGACAGGGTAGTGTGCCCTAGTCCTGGACCTGTTTAATTCTTTTATTACCTTTTTTAACTCAACGTGCTGAGCCTATTTTGGGGCCATTTTATGCTTTATTTATATCCGCATACTAGTTTTTTTGGTGCTGGCAACCAAATCTTTGTATTATTGTCTTAGGGTGTTTTAAATGTCATTACGCCAGCAATATCGCTTTGAATTTTGCTTGGTTGCTTGTCCCCAACATTTTTTGTATTGTCTTATTTTGCTATGGCTGTATGCTAATGCAATTAAATTAAATTATTATTATATTGAAACATCAAAATATTAAAATGCAGCCTCATCACAGGAGGAGAAAGGAAATAGGAAAAAGAAAGAGGGGGAGGGAATCAAATTGGCTCCAAGCCAAAGGCCAGGTGGAACAACTCTGTCTTACAGGCCCTGCGGAAAGAAATCAGATCCTGCAGGGCCCTGGTCTCATGAGGCAGAGCGTTCCACCAGTCCGGAGCCAGTGTTGAAAAGGCCCTGGCTCTGGTTGAAACTAATCTAACTTCCTTAGGGCCCAGGACCACTAGGGTGTTGCTATTTATGGACCTTGAGGCTCTCCGTGGGGCATACCGGGAGAGGTGGTCCCGTAGGTAAAATGAGCTTCATGGCCAAGTGGGGATTTGAATCCAGGTCCTAGTCCAGCTTTCTAACCACTATGCCATTTTGTTTTTTTTAGCGTATGTTCAACCTCTTGCAGTTCTGCACACACTGGACTCCCATTGGACTCAGCAGGGCTTACGTCTCTTGTAGGCATGTATACAATTGTAAGTAAACAAACAGAAGGCACAAGAGGTACTATGGACATTCTTCCAAATATGGATGGATAATCAATATAAATGGACATTTCTTGAAATAAATTTCAGCTAAGCTTACCTATGTAGACTGAAGACTTGTGCTTGGGGACACTGTCATCGATGAAAGCTGTTCCCAGTGTGTAAAGAGGAGTCCCACCTGCTCCCATTATCAGCTGTCCCAGCAGGAAAACGTAGAAGTAGTTGGAGAGTTCAGTCTTTTTTAAGCCAGGCTTGCATGTGGCATTCTTAATTGCAGCCAGGTTTACTGGACAGGTATCTGGAAGTGCAAGTTTATTACATCAGTAAAATTTATTTGCTTTCAGATGAATTATCATAGTTCTTTGGTTGTCCACAGTACCACTGAACCCAACAATTGGTGCACAATGCTGAAGAAATGTCAGGATGCTGTCAGTGGCTCCCGGCTGGTTGCCCAGGAAAGTATAAAGACAAGGGAAAGTTTCTTACCGTCCTTTTTTATTTCAATCTTTACAGAGAGAGGCAGCCTCTCGGATAACAGCATTGTCCCAAGTGAATCTCCACCCCCCCTTCTCTCCCACTTCCTCATTCGTCATTCTCATCGTCTCTTCTATGGGTGTTGCTACATGCCTTCTGTCTTTGAGCTCTTTGCTCTCCTTCTGTTAAGGCTCTCTGGGTTCTGGGAGATAGAGGGTCTGGAATGCTTTCTAATGACAATGTATCAGCTGAGAGTTGTTCCAGCTCTCCCATGATTTCCCATCTTTCCCCCTCATCTGCCTCTGAGCTGCTATCTCCCTCCAATCCCTGTTGTAAATCTATATTGTCTTCCTCTTCCCCCTCCCTGGAAGGGTCAGGACAGGGAGCTGGTCTTCACCATTCCTCCTCTGCCCAGTCCCTGAGAAGAAGTAACAAAGCAGCTTTTAAGCTGACATGGGGAGAAGAGGCAGGCTGTTCAGGATAACATTCAATGGTTGTTCAAAAAAAATAATCTTGGGTAGCCCATGTGAGGACTACAACTCCCATCAACCCTGATGATTGGCTATGCTGGCTGGGGCTGATGGGAATTGTAAGCCAGCAACATCTGAGGGGCATCGTGTTGGATAGCCCTGGAACACAGGGTGACACTAGAAGCGAGTGAGAATGAATCACAACAACGAAAAGTTAAATGTTAAAATGAAACTACCTTCTAACTTCTGTGCTTCGCCCACCTGCAATTTATATAATATCGCCATTAGAGATAATATCACCATTGCAGAGTGGTGGGTAAGGATTACTAAAATAATAATATCTTATGTACTTTGAACACCTTCTCTCACACACAAAAGTGCTATACAGATAGATGTTGCTGTTGTTATTATTATATACAATTATATAGTGCATTTTTACCCATCATCATAAACAACACGACATACATGTATGAAATACCTTTCACAGAGCTGCAAAATATTCACTGCTCTGTGAAGATCACTGACTTTTCTTGTGGGGATATTTTAACTTTGCTCAATTGAATTGATATAGCTTGGATATTTGTATTTGGATATTTGTATTGATATAGCTTGGATATTCATATCACATAACCAGTGCAGGTAAGACTACATTTTTATTGACCCAATGTATATGAAAATATGGAAGGCAAGCTTTCAGATGGTACAAAGTTCTTCCTTGGAGAAGGGTCATTACTCAGTGGTAGGACATCTGCTTTGCATGCAGAATGTCCCAGGTTGCAGTTTTCCTGCTCGGAATCATGGAGAGCCATTGCCAGTCATTGTAAACAATACTGACCTACCTGGACCAGCACTCCGCATAAGGAAGCTTCCAAAGTTCCTACGTTTTTCTAAGAATTATTATGGGTGCACATTAGTAGCACAGCAAGTGGAATCTGCAACAAAATTTTGCTGTGTATCCTCCTATCTAAAATAGTATTTTTCAGTCCAGCTATTCCCTCTAAGCAGGATGTCCTATTTTGTCATGTCATTCTATGGCTATTGATTTTGCTCAGTTTTTATTGAGCTGCTGTTGTTTTTTTGAGGGAGGAGAACTTATAAAGTTCTTTTTCTCTGCATTCTTTCAGAATCCCTCAAGCCTGCAGCTGCTTCCCTCTTGTTTCATAATGGCCCATTTTGTCTATGACAGTAAGAGCTGTTCGACAGTGGAATTTGCTGCCAAGGGGTGTGGTGGAGTCTCCTTCTTTGGAGGTCTTTAAGCAGAGGCTTGACAACCATATGTCAGGAGTGCTCTGATGGTGTTTCCTGCTTGGCAGGGGGTTGGACTCGATGGCCCTTGTGGTCTCTTCCAACTCTATGATTCTATGATTCTATGACTACAGTCTTGGTGGTGTTTGCCATTCACATTCACTAGCAAAAGGAGGTATAATAATAAATGCCACTAGAGGGAGCTCCCATTTAATAAATCTGAAGTATGAGGATCATCTTCTATCAAAACAGTGTTCACCTGAAGAAATGTAGGATTTTTAAAAAGAGAGAGGGAGAATTCATAATTGCTTTAAGCATTTTTTTTTTAAAATGAAGTCACAAACTGCTGGTATCATTCATTATGTTTATTCCAATCCAAATAACTTTACTGTACTAGCCATTGGCCATGACAAATCTGAATCAAAAATAAGTACAAGCAAAAAGGGGTGTCACACCACAAATAATGGTCTCTGTTTAGATTTCTGCATCTCCCTTACAGTTCACTGCTATATTGTCCAGGGTCTTTTTTCTGATCTTTTTTGGCCGCCAAGGGAAAAAAGGGTGATTTTGTGAGTCACTGAAGTGTTTACATTGCTAAGAATGGATGCCTATCATCATAGCAAATAAGAGATAGAAAGAAAGGCCTCATATTTTAAGGGTTCCAGAGTGGAAAGGCGGGGGGAAACAGCTCTCGTTGTAAGTCTAAAGCAGACCAGCCTGTGTCAAAGATGCGAAACAGTATTTGCCAATCCTCTGCATGTCCCCGCCGCCAAATAACTACGGTAACTAACTAACTACCGTAACTAACTTTTCTGGGAAAGAAACCCACCAAATAAGCCATGTGGAGAAAAGGGTGGGCTGTGTTAACTTGCATAGTTAAAGGTTAAACTATCATTTTTATTTTGAAAAATTCCCAAGTGCCTTATTATGATCAATCAAATTGGCACAGAATAGCGAGCAAACTTTTGAGTCCACCAAAACCCTTCATTAAGACCGATATGTTAAGCAAAGGGGAGGGAGATGAGGAAAACAAACCTGGTTCAATATTGAATCCATAATGTATGCTTTGATTAACAATTCATTTTGTTTTATAGCTTTAGGGATGTGGCTTTGGCAGTCAAGTTTGTTGATGATACAAAAAAACAAAATAAAATAGGGCGGCTAAAAAAAATGGGGTTGTAAGGAACTCCAAAAGGATCCCTCTAAACTGAGTGAATGGGAAGTAAAATGGCAAGCGCAATTCAATGTAAGGAAGAGATGCACACCGGGGTAAAAATAATTTTTAAAAATCCTAATTTCTCATGTATGTTTATCAGGTCTGAACTGGGAAAAGACCTTGGGGTCACAGTGGACAGCTTGAAGATGTTGATCCAGTGTGCAGCAGCTGTGAAAAGGGCGAATTTCATCCTAAGGATCATGAGGGTAAAGTTTGAAAATAAAACTGCCAAAATTGTAATGACAACACAAATCTAGAGTGCAGCCACACTTGGAATACTGTGCATAGTTCCAGTCACTGCATCCCAAGAAGTATATGATGGTGCTGAAACAAGGTGCAAGAGCAAGTCCCCTATGAGGAAAGGTTATACTGTTCTTTTTGGGGGGGGGGGTTAGTTTGGAAAAAATATAAGTGGGAAAATGATAACAATGCATATAATTTTGCATGGTATGGAGAAAGCGTAAAGCAAGTTTTTCTCCATCTCTCATGATACTAGGAGTCACGGCCGTCCATTGAAGTTGGATGCTGGAAGATTCAGAATCGGGACAAAGGTCCATCTAGTCCTGTATCCTGTTCTCAAAGTGGTTAGCCAGATGGCTAGGGGAAGCCCACAAAGAGGGCACCAACTAGGAGGGCTTTGAAAAAGGAATAAACAAATTCATGGAGGATAAGGCTATCAGCAGCTGCTGACCGCAATGGCTGTGGTCTACCTCCACTGCTAGATATTTAGTTGATAGAGCAGAGTCATCTCCCTCTGAGTTGCTGAGAATCCCACCTGTGGCGTTCACTCTTGTGCTCAGGTCCTGCTTGCAGGCTTCTGGTTGGCATCTGCTTGGCCATGGTGAGAACAGAATGCTGGATGAGATCAGCCTTAGTCTGATCCAGCAGAGCTCTCCTTATGTCCTTAGTGAGGTTGTCTTGAACAGTGCCTGAACTCTAACCCTTCTCTGCTATCCTCGATTGTGTGGCAATTTATCCTCCTAAAAACCATGCCAGTTTGAATGTATAATAGGGAAAAGCGAGTCTATGTCATCCCATATCAATGAAGATGAAACGTGCTTGACCACTGGGCTAAAAGATGATGCCTCAAATAGACGTATTAATTTGACTCTTGCCAACAAAGGTCCGTATAGTTAAAGCTATGGTTTTCCCAGTAGTGATGTATGGAAGTGAGAGCTGGACCATAAAGAAGGCTGATCGCCAAAGAATTGATGCTTTTGAATTATGGTGCTGGAGGAGACTCTTGAGAGTCCCGTGGACTGCAAGAAGATCAAACCTATCCATTCTTAAGGAAATCAGCCCTGAGTGCTCACTGGAAGGACAGATCCTGAAGCTGAGGCTCCAATACTTTGGCCACCTCATGAGAAGAGAAGACTCCCTGGAAAAGACCCTGATGTTGGGAAAGATGGAGGGCACAAGGAGAAGGGGACGGCAGAGGACGAGATGGTTGGACAGTGTTCTCGAAGCTACCAGCATGAGTTTGACCAAACTGCGGGAGGCAGTGAAAGACAGGAGTGCCTGAGTGCTCTGGCCCATGGGGTCACAAAGAGTCGGACACAACTAAACAACTAAACAACAACAACAACAATTTGACTCTTCCCCATCTGTAAGTCTACTAAAGCCTCGTTCTACTGCACTTCATTTACTTTGTTTGGGGTGGCAGGTGTTCCTCAGTGACTGAAATATATGAAACCCTATTGATATCTACCATACCAACTGCCTAGCACTAGATATGGAGCTATAACAAACTTACACTGTGTACACACTACACCTTTAAAGCACATTTGAAGCACATTCTTTCCCTCGAAGAACTGTGGGCACTGTGGTTTGTTAAGGGTTGTTGGGAATTGCAACTCTGCGAGGGGTATTTTGCACTTAGCGTAACTCTTTGAGGGAAAGAATGTGTTTTGAATATGATTTAAAGGTGTGGTGTGTACACAGCCTATAGACCAGAATCTTGAATGTCAGCCATTAGATGTAGTATTTATAATTTCTTTTAGTTCAGTTCAAGTATTTTCCCCCACACTCTTCAGCCAACGAGCCTCTCAGTGGGGTAACCTGTTCTGAAACTCAACGTGGCCTCCTTCCAAGCAGCCGGTTGACTGCAGAGCTGTGTTTGCAATGCTCTCTGTCAGGCACCTATTCAAAGACATTGTATCCTTCCCTCCTAGGCAACCTTTCCCAGCACTCATTAACTCCACTTATGATAAAGAGTAATGGGATTATGTTTTCTTCTGCCAGATTCTCACAGAATAAGAAGATTACAGAATTTCACGACAATCCACTTGTAAAAAGAATCAACAAGAAAATAAAGGGGAGCTAAAGAGGAGCAGCGGGAAACACCCTTATGGAGACCACTTCTTTCACAAACAATATTTCATTGCAACTGTGGGAGGTTAACTTTCATTTACATCAACAGCTTTGGTTTGCTGGTAGGCAGCCGAAAACGTAATGGTCTCTTAACTGCAAGAAGTGAGATGCTTAGATTGAAGTGGCCTGTTCCAACCGTTTGGGTTCCCTTTTTTCTCTCTGTTATGGGATAGAGAGGCTCCATAACCTTGGTTAAAATGGTGGTGCTAATACAGTGGTACCTCAGGTTACATACGCTTCAGGTTACATACGCTTCAGGTTACAGATTCTGCTAACCCAGAAATAGTGCTTCAGGTTAAGAACTTTGCTTCAGGATGAGAACAGAAATCGTGCTCCAGCAGCGTGGTGTCAGCAGGAGGCCCCATTAGCTAAAGTGGTGCTTCAGGTTAAGAACAGTTTCAGGTTAAGAACGGACCTCCGGAACTAATTAAGTACTTAACCCGAGGTACCACTGTAATACAATGCAATAGTACAATTATGCCATTTATATGTTATAACACTGGAAGCATCTTAAAACATAATATTAAGAATTAACTGAGACACCTTTTGTGTCAGGGCTAGCCCAGGATGTTTTGCCGCCTTAGGCAAAATTAAGAATGCTGCCGCACGCATTCACACCGCCTGAGGCGGCCTGGCGAGTAAAAGGAGGTGGGTGGCAGTGGTGGCATTCAGGTGGGTGAGTGGGCGGAGGGCGAGTGGTTCCACCACCAGTGAATGGATCTGCCACTTGAGGCAACGGGTGGGCCATCCCTGCTTTGTGTTGTCTTCTGCTCTTCATGTAGAAACTCACTACAACTCAGCTAATGGCAGAAGACCATTTCTATTTTTGATGAGGCTTGGAAGCCCTCACAGACTAGGTATTTAACTTCTTCACCCAGGCATTACCTCTCTGAGCTGGCCTTCTGGGTCATAGCTGTTTCTCTTAAATGTTAAAAAGGGGAAAAAGTGGTCTCTTAAGGACCACCATGCTAGATATTTAGGTGATAATGCATACATTACATACACCCTGAAGAATCAGAAATACATAAAAGGTTATCAAACTTCTAATTAAAAAAATAATTCAGCAAGTTCAAACACTGCAGGCAACACACTTAAAAAACAAATCTGCACCCATTTCTGGCATTTATTCCCTTCCAACAGCTCTCCCTAGTCTGGGCTGCAAACTGCTTTTAGTTTTAAAAGCGGGTTTGATGAAAGGAATTACAAAAGCCAACAGGCCAGAGAGAGACAGACAGACAGACAGAGGGGGGGGGAATTTAAGAGGAACAAGGAAAAGAAGGGAGAAAGCCACTAAGACAAAACCAGGCAGGTAGACAATTCAAGGGAACTCTAAGTAATATAATAGGAGCGGATGGAGTTCACTGGAGTTAGACAAAGGTGCGCATTCAGAGTCTCTCAGGCCTGTCTCTGGTTACAAAGTCCTGGGATGCAGACTCCCTGGCAGGAGAGCCTGTGGTTAATAAATACTGCTGTGTGAGAGAAGGAAACAGTGGAGTGGGTGTCATGTGTGCTCTCAACCCTGCTGTCATGCCCTCACCACCCCCACCGCGTGCCAAATTATAATCTGTTTACTTCATCATGAATAACTCAGAGTAGAAAGCAGTCCAACTCTCCAGAGCCTCACCCCTTCCTCTGCATAGCCCCACCCTAGGTTCACATTATACCATGCTATGTATTTATTTATGTATCAATCTATTCAAATACTGCTATATCCTAAAAACAACAACAACAAAGCGGTTCTTGACTATGATACCACACAGGTATCACAGGTACCACACAGGTTTCATCTAAATTGCCTGCGTAAAGCAAGGCAGCGTAGAAAATTTATCAGCAGGCATTTAAAGGTTGAAACAGAAGGTACCTGCTGAATCTCTACTGACAGAGCATTCAATGGGCCTTATTTTATGAGCATGGTGGAATCCATCTATTGGCTTTTACATAAAGGTAAATTGCACACTAAGCAAAACAAGAAAACCCCATGGATAAATGTTGTCAATCTCTAAAAAGGAGGGGGTGGGAAACCGTTCGAAAACCAAGGTGCGGCTTCTGAAAATTGTTCGAAAACCGGAACACTCACTTCCGAGTTTCGATCATTTGGGAGCCGATTTGTTCGCAAGGCTTTTGAGATCCCAGTTATGTCTGTATACGAAATGTATAAATTCAACTTGTGTTTAGATCAGGGGTAGGCAACCTAAGGCCCGTGGGCCGGATGCAGCCCAATCACCTGCTCAATCTGGCCTTCGGATGGTCTAGGAATCAGTGTGTTTTTACATGAGTAGAATGTGTCCTTTTATTTAAAATGCATCACTGGATTATTTGTGGGGCCTGCCTAGTGTTTTTACATGAGTAGAATGTGTGCTTTTATTTAAAATGCATATTTGGGTTATTTGTGGGACATAGGAATTCATTCATTCCCCCCCCCAAAAAAAATATAGTCCAGCCCACCACATGGTCTGAGGGACGGTGGGCTGGCCCACGGCTGAAAAAGGTTGCTGACCCCTGATTTAGATGATAGATGAGAGAGAGAGAGAGAGAGAGAGAGAGAGAGAGAGAGAGAGAGAGAGAGACTGTATATCCAGGAACCATAACTTCAAAATGACAATGAAAGAAACATTTAATGCATAAGAACTTACCTTCTACTTTATCCCCGTATATATATGGTCCAGCAGTAAAATGTGGCAAGCAAAAAACAAGTGCACCTAGTGCTATCAAGAAAGATGCAAAGGCCAGCCATCTTGGTTTGTGCCCTCTTTCTCCGTAGAAGGATATAAAAAGGCAGAGCAAACAGAAGGATATGTCATAGCCGGAGGAGATTATACCAGTGAGGGAGCTGTTCAAATCATAACGCTTCTCAATGGTGGAAATGCTCACGTTTACTAGTCCGTTTACCACAATGCCTAAAAGAAAAGAGAAATAAAATCAGATAATCAAAGGATACATCGATGTTTTTTTATAATGATAGCACCTTTCTACATGGGCTCCCTTGTCTTCCAAGACAGACAGATGCCAACAACAACAACATGGGCTGGGTAACGTTCTGCTCTTTATACGTCAGTATTGTCCCCCCAAAGTATTTAAGCGAATGATTAAGCAGTATATAAATGCCGGGGGGGTGGAAATCAAGAGACATTGTTTTTGTTAAGTACTGCCGTTCACTACAATAGGGCACATTCACCCATATTAGTTGCCACCAATGCATTTAAGCGGCACATGCCGGTACAGGCACCTCTTCCCTCCTCTGCACTACACCTTTGCCTACCGCCGCTGCTGCTGGTCACTGCAGACAGTTATTCAGCCCAATGGTCTGAGTCAATTTCCTATGAAAGCTGCCTATCGTCAATTTTGCGATTTGCTGTGGTTGTCCTGTCACTTTAAGAGTTGCGTACACCCCGTATACTTAAAGCACATCACAAACACACACCAAGAAAACAATATTGGGAGCTGTGATTTCTTAAAGAGTCCTGGGACCTATAGCTCTGTGAGAGGTAAACTATAGCTCCCGAGATTCTTTAATATTTAAATGTATGGTATGTACACAGAGCTGTCTTCAAAAACGCTGCTCTGAACTGTCCAACACCTTGGTGGATTAAAAGAAAGTTTGGACTATGACTTCAAAGCTTGCAAGCAAGAATTCTCAAATTGCATTATTCATTTGTTAAACAAATTACTTGTGCAATTAGCTCTTCATGGGCAACTACTCTATTATTTTGTATAATCAGGGTTCCCACTAAAGAATAATTAATAATCTTAAAAATTAGCAAGTTTTATTCCCTCCAAAGCCCCATAAGACCAACATGTTTTCATGCCATCTGTTCTGGAATGCAGTACAGTGGTACCTCAGGTTACAAACGCTTCAGGTTACAAACTCTGCTAACCTGGAAGTAGTACCTTAGGTTACAAACTTTGCCCCACGATGAGAACAGAAATTGCGCACCAGCAGTGCAGCGACAGCAGGAGGGCCCATTAGCGAAAGCGTGCCTCAGGTTAAGAATGGTTTCAGGTTAAGAACAGACCTCCGGAACAAATTAATTTCGTAACCCGAGGTACCACTGTACTGCAATGTCAGTCCAATAGCATGGAAGTTTTCTCAAAAGTCCAATTGAGCTCCTAATTAATTGTATTACTTTTAAATGATTTTGTAAGATATATGAATATAACCATCTAACTTTGAGCCTAAAAAATCCCTAAGACTGGTCTGTAATACAACTCAGTTAAGCAGCTCTAGTATTGCAACTTTTCAGGTCAGCCTCATTCTGGTCATGCAGCTGCCCAGTTCTAAATTGTCTCTTTTGAAGTTACAGATGTAGAATTGTAAATGAATTGCAATCTCTAAAAACTGCTTAGACCAATAGGCAGAACTTGTTTTTCAGGCCCTCTGCCCACTGATGTGACACATCATGCCTTGTAGAAAGTCTTTGGCTATGTATGATTCCTGAAGGAACAAAAACGTGCCTATGCGTTGTTTGCTTTCCTAACATTTAATCTAATGTGTGGGACAAAGCTCATCCACACCCACAACAAAGAGAGGCAAGATTTGGGTTCAGCACCCTTAAAAGCAGGAAAGAAGGTGGGAGGGACAGGGTTAAGAAACGAACCCATCCCTCAGCACAACCTCAACTCAATATGAGAGAAGGATGGGAGACTCCAATTCGCTTCTACTTCAAGTAACACAAGGTCCCATCATCTCTGGTGTGGGTGACACTTCCTTATGGCTCCATCCCACACTGTTTCTGCCATGTCTTGCATATAGGAAATTGTGTGTAACAGACTGATGGAAGGAACTTTATCTTCAATCATTCCACCTCATGTGATTTTCTGCATACAAATGTTACCAGAGTGATATGGGACAGAGCCACAAGGAAGTGCAACAAAGCTGCCATTGTAACGTAAGAACTGTCCTTGCGAAATTTGATCTCTTAGCAAGAGACAGTCAGTTGCTGGTGTATACTCAATATCGCATTACTACCACCTTGGAAGACTAATAAAAATACAGTCGTATCTGTAAACCTAGTGAGGATTCAAATCCAAAGTTGTGGCTATAAAATTGGGGAGGTGGTTCTGCTGAACCCAATAGCTTCAAGTGTCCCCGAGCCCAGAGAGTCAACCGTCCTCTTGCACCCTGAACCATTGTTTTCAGCAGGTCATTCCAGGACTTGGCAGGGGAAAGTTGCGCCTGCGAAAAGTACCTTCATCTCCACAACTGTCAAAGGACACCAGAGCACTTCCTGAACTGTTAGCCAAATTAACACATAGCACAGGAGGGTGGTAACAGGCTGGCACCATCAGCAGGCTTGGCATGGGCCTCAGGAAGACATGGTGGCACCAACACCTGAGTGACTCCTGCTGCTTCTGGAAGAATCTCCCTCCAGTGGGTGTATGGGTGATGCCAGAAGGGCGGACAGGGAACAAGCAGCTCACCCCCACACTTGCCCTCCCATTTCTGGACCTCCATTAAAATATACTGTTGTTTTACTTTATGTTAACTTCTGGGACACAACTTGCCCACCTAGAAATATCCTTTACCATTTCTGTGCCCCCTCCCCCCCCCCAAAAAAAAAATATTTCTTGGTGCCACCATTGAGTGTGTGGGTTGCATCTTCCACTGTGTTGTGTTTGTGTCTTTGCCCCAGGCAGTGGGAGCTGCCTTGTTTTTTCTCCTTCACACTTAAACTAGGCAAGCCAGTGGAAGTTGAAAGGATTGGCCCTCTGCCCAGCCTCCCACAGGGTGTCAGTAAAGGATTAAGAGATAGTTCGTTCTCTGGCAGGTAGGGAAGTAGGTGGTGGTGGTAAGGAGAAGTTATGGCCTTCTCACTAAGAGCTTTGTCCCACAGATTTCTAGTATATTTCACATGAAGAGGTATATTCTCAGATAAAGGCCTTTTTTCATTTTGTTGGTTTTAAATAGGCATGCAGCCTCATTTTATTTTACAGTTTACGGATGTTAAAACCTGGATGGATTGCTGGTTAGATTGTTGAACCAGGACCTGGGAGACCCAGGTTCAAATTCCCCCTTAGCCATTAACCGAACGGGGTAATTTTTCGCCAGTCACAATCTCTCGGCGTAAACTACCTTGCAGGGGTGCTGTGAGGACAAATGGTGAGGGGAGAGAATGATGTACAGTGCCATGAGTTCATTGGAGGAAAGGTGGGACACAAATGAAACAAATACAGATAATGCACACGTTGTCCATCCATACATTTCACAGAATCACAGAATTGTACAGTTTGGAAGGGACTCTGAGGTTTATCTAGTCCAACCCTCTGCAATGCAGGAATATACAGCCATCCCACGTGGGGATCAAACTTGCCATCTTGCATTTTCAGCACCTTTCTCTAACCAACCGAGCTATCCAGGATGAGAGTAACAGAGAGCTCCACCACTGGGAGGTGAGCAAGCAGCGGCCACAGCCACAAGGAGCAGCTGCAGCCACCCCTCACCTGCCCGCTTCCTCTGAATAGCATGGCAGAGAGGACTATAAAGAGCAGTGGCTGAGTTTGCTCACTCACATTGCTGCCGCAGCAGGGACAAATTGGAGCCAACTTAGCTTAGTGGGAGAACACAAAAGATCCCAGTTCCAATCTCCACATATGGAAAGAAAGAACTCACTCTGAAACATTAGAGTTAGTGTAGGCTGGGGCAGGGGGCTAACCCACTGCCCTCCAGATATGGTTGGACCACACCTCTCATCATCCCTGACAAAAGCCAGTGTGGAGGATTGGTTAGAGTGTCAGACCAGGGGCTGCGAGTGAAATCTTCACTCAGCCACATACCTCACTGGGTGACCTTGAGCCAATCACTGCCTCTCTGCCTAACCTACCTCACAGTGCTGTTATGCGGATTAAATGAGATGGGAGGGAGAACCCCATTTGCCACCTCTGGCTCCTTGGAGGAAAAAAGGTGAGGTATAAATGCGATGAAATAAATAAAAATAATAAAATAAATGGTCTGTGATGTCAGGGTTGGTAGGAGCTGAGAGCCCAGCAACATCTGGGATGTTCAGTTGATTAGAGTGTGGTAGTGATAAAGCCAAAGTTGAAGGTTCAATTCCAATATGGGACGGCTGCATATTCCTGCATTGCAGGAGTTTGAGTTAGATGATCTCTTCCAACTCTACAAATCTAGGTTGGCCACTCCTGGTGTAGGTCACACTAAGCCTACCAGAAGGACCAGTGGCCTGATTCAGCTAGGCTTTGTGGTGCCCCAAAACCCTGAACCAGTGATGTGCATATAATTATAGAATCGTCGAGTTGGAAGGGACCCCAAAAGCCATCTAGTGAATTTTAGTCCAATCACGTGCATTGCCAAAATCTTGCCCACAGTGAAATACGAGAGATCCCTTCGATGAACAACCTTGAAGGACACCCATGATTTGGGGGCAGAGGTGCCAACTTAAATATGGAGGGCAGGTAAACCCCACCCCGCATCATAGATCACAAGACATGGTGCACACATACCATTTGAATGGCAATGCCCATCAATAAATATTCGAGGGGTCTGGGTCCCCCAAGGAGTTGGCTCCTATGTTTGGGGAGGTGGCCCGGGTGCAGGTGGAGGAGGAACTCATATTTTCATCAAACCATCGAATTGTACAGTTGGAAGAGACCATGGGGCTCGAACCCTGAGATAAAGAGTTTCATTCTCTACCAACTGAGCTATCCCAGGCATTTGATCTGAATCCTCTCCCCCGCCCCCACTTGCACTTTCTTTTCCATCCGCCTTGCTCCCACATCACCGCAACCCATGCGCCACAAGGGCGCGCTTGACCACGACCGTCTTGGAAGCCTTGTGGGGGGAAATCTCCGTCTCCTGGGAGGCGGGGGAGAGAAAACCCCTCTGCCTTCTTTTCTCCTCACCTTGGAAGATGGAGAGGAGACTGTAGAAGAGCAAGTAGCCCTTGGGGTTGTTGCAGACCTGCAGCGCGGCGGGCGCGAACCTGCCGATGCCGCAGAGGTGCTCCTCCGGGTCCAAACTGCAGGACGCGCCCAATGCCGGATGGCCGAGGCGGCCTGGAGAGAGCGCCGCCCGCTTGTGCTCGGAGCCCTCCGGGCTGGAAGGCTCGAAAGCCGGGTTGTCCACGCCATCTTCCTTCATGGCGCGCAGCCCAGGAAGGACCTGAAGCACCTGCCACCGACTTCCCCGCCCACCACCGTCTCCGGAGACTCGAGGCCGCCGGGTCCCAGCAGCAGCAGCTTCGGCGGCTCCAAGATCAGAGCGCGCGCGGAGAGAAATGGAAAGAGAACAGCAGGCGGTGTGGCAAGGAGACCGTCCCGGTTTAAGGAACCGGGAGGAGCTGCAGAAACCCGAGGATGAAACTCCCCGGGAGGTGGGGACCTCTTGGGGAGAGATGGCGAGCGAGCGTGGCTCTGCTGGAATGACCAGTTTTGTGTGTGCGCGCGTTTTCCCCGCTCAGATGGCCAAGGCGACGGTTGTCCTCGTTCGGCTCACCTACGCGTGAGGAAAAGGCGCGCAGGGCGCAGCCTGAGGGGCAAAAGGCCACAAATAAGAACAACAGAACCACTTTCTTCCTGGTGGACGTCCCTCTTTCTTTCTTTCTTTCTCTCTGTCTCTCTGTCACACACACACTGCTTTCCAATAGTTTCAGATTCTTCAAGGAATAAAAGAAATAAAGAACAAGGAACCTGTAGGTGTCACCAACGTCCACGCTAAATGTTGCATCTCCTAAGGTGTTTTTGTTTTTGTTTAGAACTGCCACTCAGCTCCCCAGATTTCTTTCCTCATGAAACTCACAGCCCTTGCCATGTTGCCACATCCCTAAGCAGATGAAGCGCATGTGAAAATGTTGCAAACGGGTATGCGAGTATAGGCATGCCTAAGAAATATTTTTTTATTTAGCGCTTATGGACTCAATGGGCCAGGGGAAAATGTAATCCATCTTTTAAATGAATAAATAAAGCTGCCACAAATGGCAAGCAGAATGGGTTAAAAGAAGAAGAAATTAACTATTGCAGGAGGAGGAGCCCTTCTGGAATGTCACAGGCAGCCTGTTTGGTGACAGTTAAGAGTGGCAGTTGGTCAGGGACACCATGACAACCAGGCTGATTTGGACCAGGAGTGAGGCTGAGGGCACATTTGATGTTTGAAACACAGTGAGGATGTTTCCCTGCCCCTGCTGGTTTCAAGTCGCTTTCTTACCTTGTTCAACACACCAGAGAGACGGAGGGGATGTCTTCATCTGGTTGCCCAATACTTGATTTGTTTCCTCTTGCCATTTGTGCACGTGTTGTCATCTGCGCATGCGCAACAGCTGCCTGAAATGTACGCACCTCGGCTCAACAGCTCCTTTGAGGGAAAGTACCTGAGTATTTCTCAAGAAGCCACAGGATATAGATGGATTGTGGCTAACACCATGTGCATACAGCTGCAGACGCCAGCGGTGGGAGCACAATGGAGCCAGAGTAAACAGTAATGTGCACACAGCCCAAGGCATGGCATATGGAGAGCCTTTGGCACTCAGGTGTTGCTGAACTGCAAGTGCCATCATCCCCTGGCATTGGCCATGTTTGCTAGGGCTGATAGGAGTTGTAGTTCAGAAATATCTGGAGGGTCGGAGGTTCTCGACTAATGCAATCCACATTCCTTCTGAATATGATCATGAGATATCAATGCTATATCACCTCTAACCTTTGGGAATAAAGGGGGTCCAGGTTTACAATATGGCTACTTCCACTGATTTCATGTGGAATTACTGGCAGAAGCAAGGAATACTGAAGCTTGCTATGCTTTAATAAATGTATGTGTTTCTCTCCCCCCCCCTCCTCCTTGTTATCAGATGTGTTGGATATTCACTTTGATCTAAGTGTTGGCAAGACTCAAATTTTAAACAAACTGTATCTGATCCTTCAAGTTACTAGCTCAGCTCAGTTACTAGCATGAGACTTAATCTCAGGTGGGTTCAACCCCCGCGTTGAGCAAAAGACTCCTCCATTGCAGGGGGTTGGACTAGATGACCCTCTTGGTCCCTTCCAACTCTACAATTCTATGTTTCTAAACATGGAAAATAGGCATAATTTGCTTGTATCACTCATAGATGCTAGCAAAGTCTCTTGTGAGGGGTTTTTCCTGTGGATTTTTCTTTTCTGTCTTTTGCTGTTGGTTGTTGACTTTAAATATTATATACACATTGTATTTTTAATGGTGTTGTGCTTGTAAGCCTCCCAGAGGATAATTGTTGATTGGCAGCTGTTAATTTGTGGCCCGCTGTGACCCTTCTTGGGTTGCTTGTTAAACTGGAAAATTAAGTCCTCCACTTAGAAATGACAGACAGGTATGATCACAGTTAATGTTTAGCTTCCTATTGTTAGATCAGGAAAGGACAAGCTCTTCAGATAGGTTATCACCTCTCAACCCAGTTATATAGACACCATGAGTTTGATAAGACAGGAAACCAACTTTTTTTTAGTCTTTGCTTTTATTTTAATCATTAAACACTCATAAAATTGGTTGCTTTCTGCCATAACAACTAGGAATGTTTTCAATCTGAAAACAGACTTTCTTTCCAATACAAGAACTCTCCTCAGGACCTTCATCCTTCTCCTCTTCTCTATCACTCTCTGTCGCTGAAGAGGAACCCACCTACTACATCAAATGCAAAACTCACAGAAATATGAACATATATTGCACGCACTCTCACAGACAGGTCAGCCCCCCCCACTCTCTTTCCTCTTCTCCTATATTCTTCTTTCAAGCCCAATCACACTCCCCTTTCTGGGGGTGATCTGCTCTCTTTCTCCTGTTCTAGCAATCTCCCTTTCTTTTCCTAAAGCAAGTGGTTCAAGTCAATGTCCATTTTCTTTCTGAGAACACCTTTACCCATTCAGCCACAGGCCCCCTTCTCCTTCCTGTCAACATCTCTGTCGCTTCCCCAGTCTTTCCCTGGGCAATTTCACAACATCCTCCTTTCTCCGTGGATGCTGATAGCTTCACTCCTTTGAAACGTAGCCTGTTTGGTCATGTATCGCTTATCGTAGAATCAAAGAAACATGGAATTGTACAGTTGGAAGGGACGCCAAGGGTCATCTAGTCCAACCCCCCTGCAATGCAGGGTCCTTTTGCCCAATGTGGGGCTTGAATTTACAATCCTGAGATTAAGTGTCTCATGCTCTCCCAACTGAGCTACTTGTTATGAATGTCTGTGTTAACTGATTCTGTCTTACATCATTTAAATAAATATGCTGATTCACTTTTATTACAGTAAATTGCTTGAATTATTAATTGGTGGCATTCTTTGACTTCATAAATCTTTAAACTTTCTGTTTCTGGACATGCCCTGTGTCATAAGATCCTAAAATGGGTGTCATACGGTTACATATGAGAACTGCAGGCTTGCATGCAAACTACACATATAACCTTTTATTAATTTGAAGCATGGGAACTGAATATATATATGCAGGGCCAGATTTAGGTTTGATGAGGCCCTAAACTACAGAAGGTAATGGGGCCCTTTATATGTCCAGCTATTGTTTGTCAACAACAAATGGTCACTGTTTTTTGTGTTGAATATATGCTATAGGGTAAGTCATGGACCTAATAGGTATCTAAAGCCATTTGCACATAACAAAATATGTATTTTATCAAAGTAATTGTTGAACTGAAATACAATTAAGAAGAAGTATATTAATAGTGAAATGGGGGGAGCAAGAGAGTGGGGCCCTAAGCTATAGCTTGTTTAGCTTATATGTAAATCCCGCACTGTATAATATATGTTTGGTTTTTGCACCTGCAAACACATACACATATATCTAGAAAGGGCTGGTGAAAGTAGTAGGTAGGTGAGGGTTGTTTTCCCTTCTCTGTCCAGCCCTCTTCAGCTGTCTCTTGCTCATCCATCCCCATCTGCATTAAGTAGGATTAGTTCCACTGCTGCCCAGTCCCACTCCAGAGCCTGGAGAAAGAGAGAGGGAGGCTGGGAAGGAAGAGAATGGGTTGGTTTGGACAGTATTAACTCCTTCCCCACTTGGCCTCCATGGCTCCTGAAGTGTCATGTGATAAGCCAGGTTTGTATGCTCCAAGTTTTTCCTCTGCAGCTGTGGCTTTACCTGTCCTGCACCGGAGGCAATATGACATGAAGGGAGGGAAAGTGGCCATGCCTAGCCCTTCCCCAAAAGCCAGATTCGTGTGGCTTAGTGGGCCTAATTTGTCCTGCAGGTTGAAGGCTTCCCTCTGCTGCTTAGGAATATCACACCTGTCCTCCATGATTATGGATTTGTCCAATCTTTTATAAAAGTGATCTCAGGATTGAAGAATGCATCACATGGAAATACGTGTGACGAACACCTGACATTTCATTTCTGTCAGGGAAAAGCAGCATCAGGAGGGGTGTATGTGGTGTTTTGTTTTGTTTTGCTTGCTTGGATGATCTCTCAGGATCCCTTCCAATTCTTGATTCTGAGAGTTATTGAGTCTGAAATTAGCCATGCAGGTCTGGCCCAGGTACATCATTTGTTTGAGGCACATTGTTTGCCAAATGTTTGGCCAAGCAAGGGCTGCCAATGAAACTGAATATTGGCTGGTGGTTTGAATGTTCCAGTAAGGTGCCTCCCTCCCCGTTAAGGAATGTTGTGATTCAAAGGCCTGCAATCTGGGGAGAGGCTCAAGAGAGACACAGAGAACTCAGTTCATTTCTGCAAGAACCTGGTGCCAGCTGCTTCCCTGAAGGTCTGATGTTGGAGCAGCAGGGCTTTTCTCTGGGTGTGGGGGGGTGTTTAATGCTGTAAATAAACATCACTTTTGCAAAATGCCAATATGGCTACTGTGACCTTTTCCAATGGAAACCAAATCCAGGTAAGCACTGTTAAGAGAATTGAGGTATGCACAGTGCTATTTTCCAAAAAAAGAGGTGCCGGAACTCACCACGAACTTCTCCCTTGTTCTCTTAGAATGGCAAGGGCACTCAGCTGAGCTTCTGTGAGCTCTGGCTGGGGGAAAAAAACCCCTGGATGTGCTTAACTTACCCAGACCCTGTGATCATCATCTTCCTGTGCCACCTCCATGAGAGGTCTGGGCCTTTTCTGCAGTGGCTCCCTGTTCGAGGAATGCTCTCTCCAGGGAAGCTTACCTCTTCAGCCAGGCTTCTGGCTGACTAACATCCTATATTGTTTCTGCCTGGTTTGCTTTTTTTCTTATTATGTATTTTGTGTTTTTATCTTGTATTTTTATGCTGTAAACTACCCTGAGATCTACAGAGGAAGGTTGATATGCAAATTTAATTAATAACAACCACAACAATACATGCACAGAAGACAAGGTGAATGCCCTACTCTAATGGATGAGAGTAAACATTTAACCTTATTTCTGTTTTTGTGTTTTTTTAATCTACCAGTCAGGAATGTTGTAAGGAGCAGTTCAGTGCATGCAAGTTTTGAACTTTGCTTTATTATCTCTGCTCCTAATCTTAAAAGCACTTTGTTATGGTTCATCCTCCAGGTGCTCAGAATCGATGAGACACCCATGGTGATAAATATGCCTGCTAAATAATGTTATGCTCCACTAAAAAAAGTATATAAACAGTTAGTGCTCATCCGCACTTCAGCTTGCCCCATGCCTAGAAACCATGGGTCCAAGCAGTTTTCCATTTGACCCACTCCTTTCCCAGGGAAAACCTGCTCTTTAATGCTAAATCAGAGCAACTATCAATCTGGAGAAAACCTGAATTGCCACTTGTGCCAACTGAGCACTAAAGAGCGGTTTTCCCTGGGAGAAAGCAACAGGGCAAGAGGAAGTGTGGATAAACCCTTAGAAACCAGAATCCAGCATTTTGATAGCAATACGCTACAAAAAACAGGTACTGCATACCTTAAAAGAAAAAGAAAGCTAGCAGATTTCATACGTCTCAGCTGCATAGTTTTGTGCACCCAACATATGTAATAGTTGATACCAGAAATTATAAATAAATTCAGTTAGAAACTGAACTATTGACCCCAGCTGTTGGCCTTCATCCAGCTAAAATACTCAGGCAATCCAAAGAACATTTTCTCAGGGGTAAATCCCACTGAATTCATCAAGTGGAAGGAACTGCTGAAGTGGTCAAACCAGTTTCTTTGTTACAGTAATGGGCCTAGCCAAGTCTGTTAGGCACTTATTTCTATTTCTAAAGAGCTGCTCAAGTACATATGCATTGCCATAGGAACAGCTGGCTGGTTAGGCTCTTTCAGGAGGGAGTAGGCCTGCTTCTCACAAACACAAACACACACACACACACAGCTGGAAGCTACATAGTTTTGCAGGTAGGAAAACAATTGCCCAGGAACTAGCCTTTTGTTTTAGTCCTGTCAGGAGTTGGCCGTTTCCCAGGGTGTCTGGAGTTGGAGGCTAGAAAGACCCAGAGAGGTGTAAGCTGCTGTCTGTGCTGAGTCCAAAGCTATGGCTTTGGGGACAGCAGCCCCAACCCTGGAAGCTTAATGGGGAAGCATGATCTTCTGGAGGGCTAATTCTGTGAGTCCTGTGCTCAGTAAGTATGCACTTATACATTTGTGTAAATAAAGCCATATGTGTTAAAGACACCGTTGTTCATCTGATGGCCACTTTAAACAATAAGATCCATGGAATGAGGTGAATATTAGGAGTGTGGATTCAATCACTGATGCTAAAAACCTAAGCATACTTACTAGGTGAGTAAACTCCCAAGTGAACACAGTGGGGCTTACTTCTAAGAAAACTTCCATGGGATTGCATTACACAGGGTATATAAGATCCAGTAAATGAAACAGTTAAAGTTGTCCTTAAGGTATTCCTCCCCACACTTTTAGGCATTTTTCCAAGCACAGGCTTATGCCAATGTTAGCATGGTGCAACTCATAACTCTTCATCAATAATACTGGCTGCACCTGCTTTTCTGCAAATGAATACCTCCTCCTCCCTGCCATTCTCATTCTCTGCCTGCTTTCTTCTCTCCTCCTTTTAGCACTCTTGCATGCATTCTCTTTCTTCTTACCGCCATCTCTGCCTCTTCTATCATCTCCATACTTCCCATACAGATCTAACAGGAGAGATAAAAAGAGTAAAGGCACACATATCTCGAATTTCTGTTTCAAAAAGCTTCTTTCTCTCTCTCTCTCTCTCTCTCTCTCTCTCTCTCTCTCACACACACACACACACACACACACACACCCTGGGTGGGCAGCTCAGAGTGAATGGGGAGGGGAGAAAAAAGAGGGGAAGCAGCCAAAACGGGGAGAGAAAAGGACACACCACTCACATCTATCCTGACCACAGCTAGCTGGCAGGGCTTCAGATGTGGAAATTGCTTCTCCATCAGCTCTCTCACCACCATTACCATAAGATCGTTCTTGCCATTTTTTGGGGCAAAGATGTAATATACCTGTGCAAATTCCAACCAGTACCAAGCAAGTCAGTGCAGGCAGGGGGGAAACTTAGCAAATGGAAAGTAAAATTAGCTAGAGGATGTTTTAAAACAGCATTACATCTGCCAGTACAAATAATTCTGCAAAGCTGCTATGTTGAAAGAGGGTGAGAGGAGAAAACGGAAAAATTATTCCACCGATCACTCTGATACAGAAATAGAGCCAGGGAATTTCCCGGGAATTTATATTATTTTATATTATTTTTGAAGGACAGAGGACAGCACAAATGGTCACTCAAACGTTTTAACATGTCGCTGAGAGGTGACAAGAAGTTACAATATCTAGGAATATTTATTAGGTCTGAAATGAAGCACACAAACATTCTCTATGATTCCAAGGTCTGGTTTTCACACACACACACACACACACACACACACACACACACACACGTGTCCAAAGGCTAGTACAGTGGTAGTACCTCGGGTTAAGTACTTAATTCGTTCCGGAGGTCCATTCTTAACTTGAAACTGTTCTTAACCTGAAGCACCTCTTTAGCTAATGGGGCCTCCTGCTGCTGCCACGCCACAGGAGCACGATTTCTGTTCTCATCCTGAAGCAAAGTTCTTAACCTGAAGCACTATTTCTGGGTTAACAGAGTCTGTAACTTGAAGCGTATGTAACCTGAAGCGTCTGTAACCTGAAGCGTCTGTAACCCAAGGTACCACTGTAGATATTGTACAGCTGCAGCAACCATGGAAACTTAATGGGGAAGCACAATCTGTTGGAGTGTTAATTATGTGAGTCCTATGTTCAATATATATGTGTTTGTACATATGTGTAAAGAAATATACGCATAAATAAAATCACAT